GCAACGTCATATTCCAACGCTTCGAAATGGCTACCGTGTCGCACATCGTGTCATTCGTTCCGGGAGTATCACGGAAACCAGTATCACCATCTCCGAGCAGGAACATGCCGCGTTATCAGCTGATTCGCTTCCAGACACGAGCCTCACATGCTGAGTGTCATGCGGCTGGCTGCATCGTTAAAAGCTTCAGCAACAGCAGCATCGGCACCAACCGTAACAGCAGCCTCCTTATAAAGAGTGATTTTGCAATGAGGCCTTCTGAATCTCGCAATGTCAACCGTGGATGCCGTTGGAGGGGTGTTGTTGCGTCTGCTGTGATAACTTGAGCTAGGCTAAGGAGCCATAGCTAGTTGAGTTCGAGTGAGTTAAGTTAGAGTCGAGAAAGTTGAAAAGAGAAGAGGGGTTTTCACTATAGAGCGAGCAGTACATATAGGCAAAATGAAAGGTGCACCACCAAAACAGAACATTATATAACTACACTAGTCTACACTACAGGCAGTTACAAAAACAATATATAGAAATATATATTATTCTTGACACGCCCCCATAAGTGCCTGTAGGGAAGAATATGCAGTCAACGCCCCCATAATGGGGTACACCAAGCAGGAGCAGTGACAACCAATGCAGAAAACAGAGAACAGGAGGTGATAGGCTCTGGTTGGTCACCCCCTACATCCCCTCAACCTCCCCCTCCCCCTCCCCATCCCCCTCACACTACTGCAGGAGCAGCAGAGGGGGGGGGGGGGGGGGGCAAACGGAGGAGAATGGGGCCGTAGGGCTAGGGGAACAGACATCACCCATCACCCCCACACCTGCCACCCCCAGTCCCTCCCCGGGCTCCCCCACACTCTCACACCCCCCCCCCCCAGCGGCAGCTGCAGCAGAGGGAACAAAAGGAGGAGGAGAAGAGGGGGGGGAGGGAGGGGGGGGGGGCGACGCACGGCCTCCCCGGGCGCCAAAGCAGGCGGCAGAGGGGGCGACGCCTGCCCCCCCCTTCCAGGTCGCCCCTCCCGTCACCTGTCGAGGCGACCTGAGGGGGCCGCACGCGGCCCCCGAAGGAGCCGCGACGGGTGACGGGAAAAGGGGGGGGGGCGGTGCACGTGCCCCCGGTGTGCCGCGGCTGGCGACAGGGCATGGCCGGGGCGGGGTCGGGGCCGCAAGAGGGCGGGGCCGCAGGTGGCATCGGTGCCTAGGGTGGGTACCGCAAGGGCGGCGACGGGCCGGGACGGGTGGCACGTGACGCCGCGAAGGGCGGCGACGGGCTGGTACGGGCGGCGACGGGCCGGGACGGGCGGCGACGGGGCCGCAGGAGTAGAGCGGCGAGGCCGCAGTGTAGGGCGGCGGGGCCGCGACAGCAGAGAGGCGGCGAGGCCGCGACAGTAGGGCGGCGGGGCCGCTTAAGAAGGTGCGGGGCCGCGAGCGGGTGGCGGGGCCGCGAATGAAAGGGCACACCACGGGGCGTGCAGTACACTCAGTAGCAGCGGAAGCAAAAGGCCAGGATCGTAACTCTCTCTGATAGCATGTGATAACTTGAGCTAGGCTAAGGAGCCATAGCTAGTTGAGTTCGAGTGAGTTAAGTTAGAGTCGAGAAAGTTGAAAAGAGAAGAGGGGTTTTCACTATAGAGAGAGCAGTACATATAGGCAAAATGAAAGGTGCACCACCAAAACAGAACATTATATAACTACACTAGTCTACACTACAGGCAGTTACAAAAACAATATATAGAAATATATATTATTCTTGACATCTGCGTCTTCTCTTGCTGCTGCTGCCAGCAGCTCGCAGTCAGGAGGACCAGCAGTGTCGGAGGCAGTCATTGTGGGAGGAGGTTTGGCCGGCCTCGCATTGGCTATCGGACTCCGTAACATTGGGATTGACACGCAGGTGGGGTGCTGTTTGGAAGCAGGCATGCTCTGTAATCAGGTATGGTAAGAAAGCTGAAATCATAAAGAAAAAAGAAAGAAAAAAAAAAGTGTTGGAATCCGAAAAAATTTGTTGGATTTATGTAAATAGCTTGACATTATGCTTCATTGTTCTATTCCCATCGTGTTGCGATGTTCATGCTTCTATTGCATATTGTTTTTTGTTTTGTTTTTTTTTTCCTATAACCATCTAACCATAGCATGTAACATATTTTAGTCCTTCTGGTCGTATGCTGTGACTGCCAGTAGGAAACTTTGTGCGCCTTCTCCTCCTCTTCTCTGGATGTATTTCGTTGTTAGCATCCCAGGCTCTTACATGCTACCATCCAACAACATGATAAGTTGTTTTTCACACGCCATGCCATGGTATTTTGTGCCATGCCCAATGCCGTGCCATGCTATGCTTGACGCTACATCCCCACATGCAATGTCTCATGTCACATCCCCACGTGCAGGTATACTAGGCACGGGACGATCCGCAAGGCGAGGAAACCCTCATCACCCTCTATCCCAACAATCTCAGGAGCACGTTTCAAAGCATGTCCTGCAACTTGCCTCATCTCAAATCCTGCTCGCAGGTGTATGAGGCACGCAGGGAGGTGGGAGGAGGTGAGGGAACCCTCATCGCCCTCTATCCCAACGGGCTCAGGGCTCTCAGCAGAATCGACCCTGCCATCGTGCCCCAGGCATGTGCCAGTTATGCCTGCATGTGACGGTGATGCCTGCATGTGACGGTGATGTCTGCATGAGACGGCGATGCTTGCATGTGATGGTGATGTCTGCATGAGACGGCAATGCCTGCATGTGACGATGATGCCTGCATGTGATAGTGATGTCTGCATGAGATGGTGATGCCTGCATGTGACGGTGATGCGCGCATGTGATGCTGATGCCTGCATGTGATGGTGATGCCTGCATGTGACAGTGATGCGTGCATGTTATGGTGATGCTTGCATGTGACAGTGATGCGTGCATGTGATGGTGATGCGTGCATGTGACGGTGATGCGTGCATGTGACAGTGATGCCTGCATGTGACGGTGACGCCTGCATGTGAAGGTGATGCCTGCATGTGATGGTGATGTGATGCCTGGATGGCTCAGGGCGCTCAACAGATCCGACCTTGTGATTGTGCCCCAGGCATATGCGAGCAATGCCAGAGCCGGTAATAGTTGTGCAAGGGATCAGGCCCTATCGACCTTTGCATTCATTAAGGCCATGGAGTAGAATCAGCAACTAATGCAAAAAACGAATCAGCAATGGTACTAGAATCAACAACCGTTGCTGTGTATTCACTGCCTCTTCCGCTTCCTCTTCCTCTTCTCTCATTTTCTTTTCCAGCTTATTTCCCTCTCAAGTTCTGGCCTCTACTTAACTTCCCTCAAATCATGCTCGGAATGCTCTGCACATTCCTATTTCACCGTTTTCTCCTGTTTCCTCGTTTTCCCCCGTGTCCTCATTTTCACCTGCTTCCTCGTTTTGTGTTGCTTCCCCTTCTCTTTCCCTTGGTTGACATCCCGTGGAGTACCGGGCTCCACCAGTCTCAACCGCTCTCCATCCAGAGATCTCCTTTCCAGTGGGATATTGCGTCCAACATGACCGCCCAGTTTCCCCCCCCCCCCTGCTCACCATCTGCTGTTGCTTCCCTCCCGTGACGCATTCCCTCCCGTGACGCATTCCCTCCCGTGATGCATTCCTTCCCTTTGATCTCCTATTCCCTCAGCTGATATCCCGTGGAGTACCGAACCCCATCGTTCTCAGCCGCTCTTTAACTGGCGAGCTTCTTTTCCGGTGGGAGCTTGCGTCCAGCATGACCCCCCGCTTTGGCTTTCCCATGCTCTGCATCCGCTGGCGAGAGATACTCGACGTGTTGCACGGAATGCTGCCAAACGACGTCGTCCACACTGGGCATAAGCTTGTGGAGTTTTCACAGGAAGCAGAGGGGAGTGGTGAGGGGAGCGGTGCAGCCACGAAGAGTGCCCCGGTACAATGCGTTTTTCAGAAGGTTTCCGGTGGTGAAGAGCAGTTGGTGGAGGTGGAGGTGAGTGGGGGGAAGGGAGAAAAGGGTCTTGTGATCGGTGTCTTGTGATCGGCCATGGCAAAGGGTGGGGTGGGGTGATGACGTGGAGTGATGATGTGGGGTGATGACGCGGAGTGATGGCGAGGGGTGATGACGTGGGCAACGGTCTCTCTTAATCGTTCATCTGCCTCCTCCTTTTCTTCTCTCCCAAATTCAGCATTCACCTTCTGCCTCCTTGTACCTCGTTCCACCACATTTCACCCCTTCTTTTCTTTTCCCCCCCATCCTCCAGACCCCGCTGTTGCTGGGGGCAGACGGCATTCACTCGGAGGCACGGAAGCATCTGCTGAGCGGTTCAGCAGAAGGCAAGGGAGTGAGTCCGCGGGACAACGGTAGAACCATCTGGAGGGCCATCATTGACAGCAGCCTCTGCCCGCACCCTGTATGTTCCTCTCTGCTCCCAACCACTGAGTGTCTCACATGCCTAGCTATGTGCTTCTCGGTTCCCACCCCGCGTGTGCCTCCTCTTGGTCTGCTGAAGCCACACTTTATTCACAAACCATGATCGCTACTCGATTACACCTCAGCTTGCTGCGGGCTCGCAAAAGCGACGCACACAGTATGGTTAGTGTCAAGTGCTCTCTGTCTGCCTGCTGAGAGTTCTCAAGGTGACTTTGAGTCGACGTGAAAGTCAAGTGCCCTATGTCTGCCTGCTCACGAAACTCAAGGTCCCTTTTGAGTCGACCAGAAGGTCAAGTGCTCTCTGTCTACTGAGGGCTCTCAATAAGCACACACAAACAATGCTCAGTGTCAAGCCAACCTCACAGTAGCTGCTCTACAATTGATCATAGAGCAGGCAGGCTATTGCTGCTACATAATTTTTTTAAGCTGACAGCCATTGAAACCAACTAGCATCTGCTGTAGATTTGATCATAGAGAAGGCAGGCTATGCCTGCTACTAGACTATCCCCTCCTTTCATCCTTCTCCCTTCTTACGGCCTTTCCCTCTTGCAGCTGCTGCAGCCACGTCACGCACTCACTTTTCTTGGCGTCAAACGCATGGCAGCCTTTGTCGACTCTGGAGCAGAAAAGCCATACTGGGTTTTAACTCTCGACGATTCCGCCGATCCGACGGTCAGCAGCGCGCGGTCCAGCGGGGGGGAGGAGGCGCGGGGGAAGATCCTGCGGGCGTTTGAGGGATGGGATGTGGTGGAGCAGGTGGTCAAGGCTACTCCCCCCGATCTCATTCTCGAGCGCCGCGTGCTCGACCTCCCGCCCCTGCCGTTCTGGGTCCACGAGAGCACCGCTCTTCTCGGAGGTACGCCTGGGGCGATGGTGTGTGGGATTCGGTGCAGGTGGGAATAAATAGTTATTGTATAAGGGCAGTCTATGTGAGTGTGTCATACTGGGAGTTACAGCCGGGGTGATCTCAGGTGGGATTTTACGTACGTCACCTTATTTCATAGATGGTACGACAAGGAAATATCTAAGCAACGATTTTGGATGTTTGAAAATGGGGAGGTCCTATGGAAAACACATTCACAAGCAGCACTACGTGCAGCAATCTGACAATCTGAATATACATGCCAAGGCTTTCTGTCAGCACTACCTGACAACAAAGTTCAGCTCATTGGCATGACAATGTGCCAAGTTCTGTAGTGCCCCATTCTGCTCCTGTGCTTAGTCGTTTGGTTGGTATGTCCTTGTGGCAGTGCTGAATTAGACCCCTGAATTATGGCCAGAAATAGAGCAGTGGGCCAGTCTTCTTGCGCTCGTGTTTCACTCCCCATATCTTCCCTGCCTTTCCTGGATTACCCTCCGCCTGTCCAGATGCGGCGCATGCAGTGACGCCAGGGCAGGGCGCTAATATGGTGTTTGAGGATGCGGCGCAGCTGGTGGAGTGCCTTCGGGTACACTCGCATGCCAGGTGGGTTCTCAGGTGGCTTGTCAGGTGGCTTGTCAGGTTGGTTGCCAGGTGGCTTGTCAGGTGGGTGCTATCGCATGCCGGGTGGGTGTAATTGTCAAACATTATATATGTTATGCTTGTGTAGGCTACAGTGGGTTAGCCTATAGGGGGTACACAATTCTAGGGTTTCCTACTTGTACTCATTTCACTGCTAGTTCATTCATTCCTGTTCGCTTATTCTCACATGGTATAGAGCGGGTCCTTCTACGGACCGTTTTTTTTTTGGGCCCACCGAAGCGCCCCCCGAGGCGCGATCTTTTTTTTAGCGACCCCTCGGGTCGCCATTTCCCCTGCGGCCCCGCCGCCTTCACTGACGCGGCCACGCCGCCCTCTCTGTCGCGGCCCCGCCGCCTGCTCTCACGCGGCCCCGCCCCGGCTCCTTCGCGGCCCCGCCGCCTGCTCTCGCGCGGCCCCGCCCCGGCTTCTACGCGGCCCCGCCCCGGCTTTCACGCGGCCCCGCCGACGGCTTTGTCGCGGCCCCGCCCAGGCCCTTACGCGGCTCCGCCGCCTGCTCTCACGCGGCCCCGCCCCGGCTCCTTCGCGGCCCCGCCGCCTGCTCTCGCGCGGCCCCGCCCCGGCTTCTACGCGGCCCCGCCCCGGCTTTCACGCGGCCCCGCCGACGGCTCTGTCGCGGCCCCGCCCAGGCCCTTACGCGGCCCCGCCGCCTGCCCCCGTCGCGGCCCGGTCACCTCCTGACGGCCCCGCCGTCCCTTCCTGACGGCCCCGCCGTCCCCTCCTGACGGCTCCTGCCGTCCCCTTCTACCGGCCCCGCAACTGCACCTGCTGGCCCCGCCGCTGCACCTACCGGCCCCCCACCACCCACCCCCCCCTTTTCCCGTCGCCTGTCGAGGCGTGGCAGGTGTGTGGCCTCCCCTGCTTCTCCTCCTCCTTCATCTCCCACTGCAGCAGCCGAGCCGCCCCACAGCCGAGCCGCCCTGCCGCCGAGCCGCCGGGTCGCTGAGCTGTTGAGCTGCAGTTGCTGCCGAGCCGCCCTGCCGCCGAGCCGCCGAGTCACCGAGCTACTGAGCTGCAGTTGCTGCTGAGCCGCCTTGCCGCCGAGCCGCCCGAGTCGCCCGAGCCGCCGAGCCGCCGAGCTGCCGAGCCGCTGAGTCGCCGAACCTACTCTTCCCACCACTGGTGAGCTCTTGCCCTGCTAGCACGCTGCGCGTCGCCTGCTTGCCTGCCTGCCTGCCTTTTGGCTTGCCTGGCTGCCTGCCTCCCTGCTGCTAGTCCTGCTCCTGCTTCTACTTGCGGAGCCAAATGCAGCCCCAGCGACGCCGGCGTGAGTCCCTCACGCCGCAGCAGCTGCGTGAGTGGTACGCTGGTTGGGGCTGTAGGGGTGGCGACGCTACTCCTACTACCACTCCTGCTGCTTCTACTCGTGGTGGCGGCCAGATGCAGCTCCCGCGACCCTCTCGCGTGTCTCTCACGCCTCGCCAGCTTCGTGAGTGGTACGCTCAGAGTGGAGGGTCTCTCGGTGCTGTTCGCTGCTCTTACGTGATTCGCACTGGTACTCGGACTGGTCAGCCTTGTGGGACACGTAGTCATACACCGTCCCGCTGCTTCGCCCGTCTGAGCGACGCCTGGCGTACCGTGTTTGGCGACGAGGCTGAGCTTCCCGACTGGGTGGAGTTGCTTAGGCAGAGAGTAGATATATATGCTCTTGACTATGATGCTATTCTCACTGCCATGTATGCATTGCCTACTAGTGCTGACCGTGCAGGTCACCTGTGCGTCCCGCCTGACCCAGGTATAGGACCTGCTGCTCTAGCTACTGGTGAGGCTGCTGCTCTGGGTGCTAGTGAGTCTCCTGCTCCAGGCACAGGTGCGGCTGCTGCTCTAGGTGCTAGTGAGTCTGCTTCCTCAGGTGCGGGTGAGACTGCGCTCTCAGGTACCGCGTTGGCTTCGGCCTCCCTCACCTTTACACTTGACTCTGGGGCTTCTCGCTCCTTCTTTCGGGACCGCACCACACTCACGCCGCTTGGTCGGCCGGTTGCAGTCTCCCTGGCTGACCCCTCTGGGGGTCCTGTCCTCGCTCACTTCTCCACTGTCCTCCCGTGTCCGGCTGCCCCCTCGGGCACCCTGTCTGGCCTGTACCTCCCCTCGTTCTCGACGAACTTGGTGAGTGGTGCAGACCTACAGGATGCGGGGGTTCACCAGTTCACTCCTGCGAGTCAGCGGGTGACCCACTGCACGGACGCACGCACAGGCCGGCACCTGGCCACGTTCTCGCGTCGGCCGGGGTCGAGCCTCTACACCCTGACCACTGAGTCTCCTCCTGTCCCCGCGTCCGGTCAGGTAGCAGCGTCGGGTCAGGTATTTGCTGCTGCGTCCAGGTCTGGTCCTGAGTCTGCCCCCTGTACTTGTCGCCTCCTGTCTCACGAGACTCTCCTGTGGCACCACCGTCTTGGCCACCCCTCCTTGCCCCGTCTTCGGAGCATGGCTTCCCGTGTCCTTGTCTCTGGTCTTCCCCAGTCTCTCCCTCCTCTCCCCTCCGGGCCAGGACCTTCCTGTGTCCCCTGTGTCGAGGGTCGCCTCCGGGCTACTCCTCACTCCTCCCACTTCCCCCCGACAGAGGCTCCCCTGCAGACGCTTCACATGGATGTGTGGGGCCCAGCCCCCGTCCGTGGGCAGGATTACGAGCGCTACTTCCTGTTGGTGGTTGACGACTACTCGCGTTACACCACAGTCCTCCCCTTGCGCAGCAAGGGTGAGGTCACTGAGGTGCTGATCGACTGGATCCGCGAGGCTCGTCTCCGGCTCAGGAAGAGCTTCGGCTCGGACTTTCCTGTTCTGCGTCTGCACTCGGACAGAGGCGGAGAGTTCTCCTCTGGCCTTCTGCGTGCCTACTGTCGTGCGCGAGGCATCCGCCAGTCCTTCACGCTTCCGGACTCACCACAGCAAAATGGGATTGCTGAGCGCCGCATTGGCATGGTCATGGATGTCGCTCGTACGTCCATGATGCATGCGGCTGCCCCCCATTTTCTGTGGCCGTTTGCGGTGAGGTACGCGGCGCATCAGCTCAACCTTCACCCCCGGGTCTCTCGGCCTGCGATGTCCCCAGCCTTGCTGTGGACGGGGAAGGTTGGCGATGCGTCTGTGTTCCGTGTCTGGGGATCTCGGGCGTTTGTCCGCGACTTGTCTGCGGACAAGCTGTCCCCTCGTGCTGCTCCCTGTGTCTTCCTTGGCTTCCCCACTGACGCCCCAGGGTGGCAGTTTTACCACCCCTCCTCTCGTCGTGTTCTGTCCTCCCAGGACGTCACGTTCGACGAGTCAGTCCCCTTCTACCGTCTCTTCCCCTACCGCACTCCTTCCCTCCCCCCTCCCCCGGACTTCCTTGTACCGGTTCCCCCCCCGGTAGACCCCCTCCCCCCTCAGGTTCCTGCCCCCTCAGGTGTGTCCCAGGTAGACGCCGTTGACCCGGTCGAGGTTACAGGTGACTCTGGTGCTGCTGCGGGTGCTGAGCCTGGGGGTGCTGACTCTGGGGGTGCTGTGCGCGGGGGTGCTGAGCCTGGGGGTGCTACTGCTGGGGGTACTGGGCCTGCGGGTGCTACTGCGGAGAGTGCGGAGCCTGGGGGTGCTGAGCAGGGGGGTGCTGTGCCTGGAGGTGATGGGTCTGGGGGTGCTGGGTCGGGAGCTGCTGAGCCTGGGGGTGCTGCGTCTGGAGCTGCTGAGCCTGGGGTTTCTCCTGCTGCTGCGTCTCGCCGGGAGCCCCTCTCTCCACAGGAGCTGCGCGAGTGGTTCGCTCGCCGCTGGAGGCGTGCTGCTGAGTCTGGAGGTGCTGCTGGAGCTGGAGCTGGAGCTTCTTCGACCGTCGAGGGTGCGGGTGCTGCCGGTCCCGGAGCTACTGGACCTGCGGGTCCTCCTGGAGCTGGAGCTGCTGAGGGCGTTGGTGCTGAGCCTGCTGCTGTTGGTCCTGCCGCTGGAGGTGTGGGTGGCGCTGGTGCTGTCTCTGAGGGCGCTGGTGCTGTCCCTGCTGCGTCTGGAGCTGCTGAGCCTGGGGTTTCTCCTGCTGCTGCGTCTCGCCGGGAGCCCCTCTCTCCACAGGAGCTGCGCGAGTGGTACGCTCGCCGCTGGAGGCGTGCTACTGAGTCTGGAGGTGCTGCTGGAGCTGGAGCTGGAGCTTCTTCGACCGTCGAGGGTGCGGGTGCTGCCGGTCCCGGAGCTGCTGGACCTGCGGGTCCTCCTGGAGCTGGAGGTGCTGAGGGCGTTGGTGCTGAGCCTACTGCTGTTGGTCCTGCCGCTGGAGGTGTGGGTGGCGCTGGTGCTGTCGCTGAGGGTGCTGGTGCTGTCCCTGCTGAGTCTGGAGCTGCCGCGCGGCCTCGGCCGTACTTCGTTCCGCTCCTACAGCAGGTTCTTGGTCTTTCTCCTTCGGTAGAGTGTCCACAGCCTGTCCAGTCGCAGTCACTGTTGGAGCCTTCCTCTCCTCTGCCTGCTCCCTCTCCTTACACTGGTCCTACTGGAGGTCTTGCTGAGCGTCGTGAGCCTGCGTCTCGTCCCGCGTCGCCTGTTTGTGCTGCTCGCGCTAGTGGTCGCGGTTCGCGTCAGCGTCCTCCTCCTGTCCCTGGCACGCACCGGATGTCTCTGCGTCCGTCCACTGCTCCTCTGCGTGCCCCTTTGCCTTCACCTCCTGAGTCCTCTCTTCCTGCGCTTGCCGACCCTGAGTCGGACTCTCTTCGCGCTGCCAGTCCTACTGTCACGCGTCTGCTTGCTACTGTCGTCACTGACCCCTCTTTTGAGTCCACTGCTGCGTCTGCTCTAGTCGCTGAGCTCGTTGACTTTGCTGCTCGCTGTCGTCTCGACTACGCTGCTGGTCTTGTTGCTGAGTCTGCGTCTGTCTGTCCTCCGTCCGTCGGGGGTGAGTGTGCTCTTGGCACGGACGTCCTAAAGGACAGACAGGAGGAGTTACAGTGTCTAGCGGCTGCTTCACCTCATCTCGCGTCTGTACTGCTTGCCCCTCAGGGAGACCCGGATGCACTAGACATCCCGACTCCGCGTTCTTACGCAGAGGCCGTAGAGGGTCCCTACTCCTCTCAGTGGCAGGCAGCTATGGATGCAGAGATGGCTTCCTGGAAGTCCACAGGCACCTACGTTGACGCAGTTCCCCCTCCTAGGGCGAACATCGTCAGTGGCATGTGGATCTTCCGGGTGAAGCGGCCGCCGGGCTCTCCACCTGTCTTCAAGGCGCGGTACGTTGCTCGTGGCTTCAGTCAGCGGCAGGGAGTTGACTACTTTCAGACCTTCTCTCCCACCCCGAAGATGACCACTCTTCGGGTGCTGCTGCACATAGCCGCTCTGCGCGACTACGAGCTTCACTCTCTCGACTTCAGCACTGCGTTCCTGCAGGGTAGCCTGCACGAGGAGATCTGGCTGCGGCGTCCACCTGGCTTCACTGGGACTTTCCCTCCTGGCACCCAGTGGAGCCTCCGACGGCCAGTCTACGGTCTCCGCCAGGCACCGCGTGAGTGGCACGACACACTGAGGACTACGCTTGCGGCTCTTGGGTTTGCTCCTTCTACTGCTGACCCGTCGCTGTTTCTGCGCACCGACACTTCACTGCCGCCGTTCTACATCCTCGTGTACGTCGACGACTTGGTCTTTGCCACAGCGGACACTGCTGGACTCGCCTACGTGAAGTCCGGACTGCTGAAGAGACACACGTGCACAGACCTGGGTGAACTGCGCAGCTACCTTGGCTTGCAGATCACTCGGGACAGAGCACGCCGCACCATTACCTTGACTCAGTCACACATGGTGCAGCAGGTCCTTCAGCGCTTCGGCTTCACGTACTCCTCGCCTCAGGCCACTCCTCTGCCTACTCGCCACTCACTCTCAGCTCTGCCTTCGGATGAGTCCGTAGAGTCGAGTGGTCCGTATGCAGAGCTTGTTGGCTGCCTCATGTACCTGATGACCTGCACACGACCTGACCTTGCATATCCTCTGAGCATTCTTGCACGCTATGTTGCTCCTGGGAGACACAGACCAGAGCACATGGCTGCAGCGAAGAGGGTATTGCGCTACCTGTGCAGTACGTCGGGCATGGGGCTTGTGCTTGGAGGGCGGAGTCCAGTGGTCCTTACCGGCCACGCGGACGCTTCTTGGGCTGACGACCAGGCTACGCAGCGGTCGTCACAGGGTTACACCTTCAGCCTTGGTTCCGGCTCTGTCTCGTGGCGGTCTACTCGCTCGTCTTCGGTTCTCGGCTCCAGTTGTGAGGCTGAGATCTACGCCGGGGCCATGGCTGCACAGGAGCTTCGCTGGCTCACCTACCTGCTGACTGACCTTGGAGAGCCGCCTCGTTCTCCTCCAGTGCTGTACGTAGACAACAAGGCCATGCTGGCCTTGTGTCGAGAGCAGCGCTTGGAGCACAGAACGAAGCACATTGCTCTCCGCTACTTCCTTGCTCGTGAGCTGCAGCAGCGTGGTCAGTTGCGACTTGCGTACGTGGCCTCTGAGGCCAACACTGCTGATGTGTTCACCAAGGCACTCGCGCCTTATGACCATCAGCGCTTTTGCACCCAGCTGGGTCTTGTGCCTGTCTTGCCTCACTTGCTCTCCTCTTGACTTCACTTGTACTGTGACATATATATATACCTGCTCTTGCTTGTCTAGTTTTATATATATGTCTGTACTCCTGCATGTGAACTGGCCTCTGGCCCTGCTCTTGTGCTCGGACTGTGTGGTGACTTTGTGATCCACCCTGAGCTTGCTTTGCTTTGCTTGACTGGTCTTGTGACCCCTTGTTCTCCCCCACTTTGCCTATGGGGGTGTGTAAAACATTATATATGTTATGCTTGTGTAGGCTACATTGGGTTAGCCTATAGGGGGTACACAATTCTAGGGTTTCCTACTTGTACTCATTTCACTGCTAGTTCATTCATTCCTGTTCGCTTATTCTCACAGTAATGGCATGCTTTTTTTTTTTGGCTTTAGTGCTTGTTTTCTATTGCTCCATTGCGCCATGGTGCATTCGCGTAGTTTTGCATCCACCCACCCTCCCTCTCTTCCTCTCGTCGTCCTGCCCTCCCAATCCCCCTTTGTTGCCTCATTAGTGGTAAACCATCCTCCTCACACCCTTACTGCTGCCTCACCGTTCCTCCTTAAACCCCCATGTCATCCCAAAACGGTACCTAAGGGTGAGACGGTCCAAAGCAACATTTCCTCTCCCTCTCCTTCCCATCCCTTCCAGTGATGTTCTTTGCTCCTTCCAATCCCTCCACATGCCACAAGGGGGTCTTCGAAACGCCAAACACACCCCTCCCCTCTCCCTCTCCCCCTCTCTCTCCCCATTCTCCTTCCCATCCCTTCCAGGGACGCTCTCTGCATGCCACGAGTGCAAGCGGTGGCATCTCGTCACATTTGTCTCTCCCTTGCTTGCTATATCTCCCTTGCTATTATCCATCCTCCTCCCTCCCTTACTGTTGTCTCACCCTTCCTACTCTAACCCCTGTGTTAACCCAAAATGGCATCTGAGAGTGAGACGGTGATGCACTTTGCTCCTTCCAATCCCTCCGCATGCCACGAGTGGGTCTTCGAAACGCTTCAACCGCATGCCCCCCCCCCCCCCCCCCGCTTCTGCTACCCTACACTTCCAGTGACGCGCTTCACTCCTTCCAGTCCCTCCGCATGCCACGAGTGCAAGCGGTGGCATCACGTTACGCTGCCGCCTCAAAGACGATTTATGGCGCCAAGAAAGAGAAGAAGGCAGCAGTGAATGGGGGAGGAGCAGGCAGTGATCGAAGTGAGGAGGATGAAGTGCCAAAGATTGAAGAGGTTCAAGCGGCAATGGCTGCAGTGGCGGCACGAGAGGGGCGTGATCCTGATGTGGATCTGTATGGTTATGACATCGTGGTTTGGGAGGGGGAGGATCGTCGTGTTGCGAGTGTTCTGCACCAGTAACGTGTCCTTGTTAAAGAACTTCGTCATTACAAGGGGGCTTGGTCATCACATCGTGGTTCTAGAAGAGGATTTTCTAGTTACAAGTGCTGTGTTCTGATTTGGTGTGCATTCACAAACCCACAGTGATGCTCTTCAATGCGCCTCATGTGATGCTGGCGAGGTACTCTATGCTTGCCTTGTGAGTCTGTCATGTTGCTGCAGTGAGGCAATACGTGTTGCCTCATAATTTACGCAGTTTTCTTTTTTGTTTGCCATGCATACAACTTTTCCACTTTCGCTCAGTCTGTACAGAGCACAGTCAGAACCCTTAGGCACCCATGGTCCTACACCTAACTGCATCCGACCCGACCCAGCCCAGTCTTTCCAGGCATCAACAGGCAGGTTTAAATGAAATTAGAATAGCTGTGGGTTGTCAGAAATCACCTGCAATATTGGTGTAAGAGTTGCTATTACAGAACACTTTTTTGTACCAAATAGCCTACAAAAGGAGAGTAATGCGGTGGACTGTGCGGTTGAAATGCTGATGTACCAGTTAGGTAATTCGCGCCGAGTTGATGGTAACCACCAAGGAGTGATGGCTACTGCGAACAAGCCCGCAAGATCCGATGGGTTTGATCGAGCCACGTGGCTGACTGCGGGGCGGATGTCAGTGCGCTCGAGTGACCCCAGCGGTAATGCCCCAGATTCCGAACCACCACCTGTTTTCCGGGCCTTGGGTCTGGCCCAGGTCGGAGCCACAGGTTCTGAATCGGCTTGGAGCCAAGCCAAGCCTAGCCAATCTCCCATAGCTACGGCGAATGAACGAGAAACCATGTCGAACCAAACCCTTGTGTTTCCAGAATTCCAGGCAAAATTGGCTTCACTTTCCTGATCCCACCCAGATCCTGAAAGCAGCTGTTACTCGCAACTCTGGAGATGGAAGGACGATATTGGATTGGAACCGCAATGGCGAAACAAAGCAGACACAACGAGCCATCCCACTCGCGGGCTGTCCAGATGCGGGCTTGGCTCGACAAGCGTTCTTACCGAGCCTGCCGCCTCGGTGTGCGAGATGTCGTGGACTGATTCGGCATTCCGGGGATACGAAGGAATCAAGGCCTGCTGGAATATATTCGCGGAAATAGCAGCCACAGATTTCTCAAGCCTTCAAATGAGCCGATTCTGGAATCAATCTAGCATTAGGAGTCATTCACGGGAGGTCTTTCTCGCCCTTTTCACCATTCAGTGACAAGTATGCGTGCTTCCTTGTTGATAGTATCGAAACGAACCGCTTGAGGTCTTCAGTTTTGGTGGCAACGTCATAATCGAACGCTTCGGAATGGCCACCGTGTCGCACGTCGTGTCGACCGTTCCGGGAGTAACACGCATCTCAACCGTCCGTCTCGTGAATCCGCGGGATACAGCGTCACCATCACTGAGCAGAAACCCGCGTTCTCATCTGATTCGTTTCGAGAAACGAGCCTTACATGCTGAGCGTCGTGCGCCTGGAAGCATCGGTAAAGGCTTATCCGTTAGCAGCAGTACCAGTAAGAACCTGTTGAGCAGCCTCTCTATCTTCAAGGAACGCGTTTTTGCGGCGAGGGGGTCGTTTGGGACTCGCAATGTCAACCGTGGAGGCTTTTGGCGGGGTGTTGTTGCCTCTGCGTCTTCTCCTGCTGCTTCGGCGAGCAGAAAGGGCGCAAGGGGGACAACAGTGTCGGAGGCAGTGATTGTGGGTGGAGGATTGGCCGGCCTCGCAACTGCTATCGGCCTCCGAAACATTGGGATTGACGCGCAGGTGTGGTGGTAACTGGAAGCTGTAATCCACTAGGTAAGAATGCTGGAATGAGGAAGAAGTGCTTGAATAATAAATGAAGTGCTGGAATCAGGAAACGGGCTGGAATCAGGGAAAAGTGCTAAAAGCAGGCAAGTTTGTTGGAATCAGTAAAAGTGCTGGAATCAGGGAAAAGGTGCACTTGGGTAAAAGTGATGGAATCAGGGAAACGTGCTGGAATCAGCCAAGATTGTTGGAATTGTAAATAGCTTGCCATTGTTTCCATCAGTCCTGTTTCGTATTGCTTTACCCTTCGTTGTTTCATTCCCGTTGTGTCTGCCTGTTGCATTGTGGGGTTCATGCTTCAAATGCATTCCATGTGACACGTCACAACTGCATGTAACGTGTTGATAATGCTCTGGTAATGCTCTGTGGCTGCAAATGGGAATGCTGTGCGCCTTCTCCCATCCTCTCAATGTATCTCGTTGCATAGCATCCCAGTCTCTACATACCATCCATGTGCAGGTAAAAGAGGGATGGGAAGAGGTGCGAGGGGAGGCCTTTGAGACGCCTCAAAATCCATATTGTTCCTGCCTCATGCCCATGCCACATGCCATGCCTCATGCCTCATGTCACATCCCGAGGTGACTTTTGAGTCGACTCAAATGCCATGCCTCATGCCTCATGTCACATCCCCACGTGCAGGTATACGAGGCACGGGATGAGGTGATAGACGGGGGAACCCTCCTCACCCTCTTTCCCAATGGGCTCAGAGCGCTCACCAGAATCGACCCTGCCATTGTGCCCCAGGCATGTGATGGTTATGGCTGCTGCTGATGCTGATGAATGCACAGGGAGCCGGTACTAGCTGTTCATCATTGCTCTCGTCTCCTGTTTTCTCATCTCCTCCTGTTTCCACGGCTTCTCCTGTCTCCTCGATTTATGTAGTTGTTATCTCCTCTTTCCCTCCATTAATATCCCGTGGAGTACCGAAACCAACCTGCCTCAACCGCTCTCTCAAACCAGCGATCTCCTTTCCTGGGGGAACCTCTTGTGCAACATGCCCTGCAGTTCAGCTTCCCCATGCTCACCATCCGCTATTGCTTGCCTCCCTTTCCTTCCCTTCCCTTCCCTTCCTTTCCCTTTCCTTCCCTTCCCTTCCTTTCCCTTTACTTCCCTTCCCTTCCTTTCCCTTTCCTTCCCTTCCCTTCCTTTCCCTTCCCTTCCCTTCCCTTCCCTTCCTTTCCCTTCCCCTCCTTCCCTTCCCTTCCCTTCCCTTCCTTCCCTTCCCTCCCCTTCCCTTGGCCCATTTTCATTCGTCTCTGCTTTCTCTCAGCTGATTTCCCGTGGAGTACCGGACCCCATCAGTTTCAACCGCTCTCCAACGGGCGATATCCTTTTCCGGTTTGAACCCGCGTCCAGCATCACTGCCCGCTACGGCTTCCCCATGCTCTGCATCCACTGGCAAGAGGTGCTCGATGTGCTGCGGGGAATGCTGCCAAACGATGCCGTTCACAACGGGCACAGGCTCGTGGAGTTTACACAGGGAGAGGAGGAAGAGGGGAGCAGCGCAGTGAAATGCGTTTTCAAAAAGGTTTCGGGCGGTGAAGAGCAGTTTCTGGAGGTGGAGGTGAGTGGGAAATGGGAGGTGGAGAGGGGAGGAAGGTGGGGTGAGGGATTGTTTTGTGTTAAGGATGAGACGTGGGGAGGGGATGGCGGAGTGGGGGAAAGGGAGGGAAGGGTGGGTTGAGGGCCAAGGGTGGGGTGGGGGGAGGTGACAAGTAATGTCATCTCAGTGTCTTGTCATTGGCCATGGCAAAGGGTGTGTGGGGTGATGATGAGGGGTGATGACACCATTCTTCGCCCCTTCCTCTCTTTCCCCCCCCCCGTCCTCCAGACCCCGTTGCTGCTGGGGGCAGACGGCATTCACTCGGAGGCACGGAAGCATCTGCTGAGTGGGGCAGCAGGCAAGGGAGTGAGTGCGCGGGACAACGGCAGAACCATCTGGAGGGCCATCATTGACAGCAGCCTCTGCCTGCACCCTGTACGTGCCCCTCCTCCCCCACCCGGTGTGTGCCCCTTAGTATCCAGTTACACGTCTCTGTGAAGGTAGACTATCCTCCCATTCTTGACTTTTGAGTCGACTCAAAAGTTAGTAGGCAGGGCCGGAGGGCTATGCTGGCTAGACTATCTATCTCCCATTCTTTCCTTCTCCCTTCCTTCCCGACCTTCCTTCTGGCAGCAGCTGCAGCCACAACACATGCGGATTGATTTGAGAATTCTCAATCATTGTTTAGAATTAGTGAAGTTACTCTGCACCACACTCGGCCATGCAGCAGCTACTTATGGTTTTGCAATCGCTACCGACTGTGGAGCAGGCACGCCCTGTCTGGTTGATTATCCCGTACCTGGCCTTCACTTTTTCGGCCTTCACTTTCCCGGAATTCACTTTCCCGGCCTTCACTTTCCCGGCCTTCCCTTCCCTTACTGCAGCTGGTGCAGCCACGTCAGGTAAATACAATACTCGGTGTCAACCGTACTGCAACCGCCGCCGACTGTGGAGCAGGCAAACTCTTCTGGGCGTGTACACTCATTGATTCCGCCGATCCGAGGGTCAGCAGCGCACGATCCAAGGGGGGGGAGGAGGTGCGGGAGAAGATTCTGCGGGCGTTTGAGGGGTGGGATGTGGTGGAGCAGGTGGTCAAGGCCACTCCCCCCGACCTCATCCTTGAACGCCGCGTGCTCGACCTCCCGCCCCTGCCCTTCTGGGTCAAAGGCAGGACGGCTCTCCTGGGAGGTACGGTTGTCCTGGGAGGTATGGCACTCCTGGGAGGTATGGCACTCCTGGGAGGTATGGCACTCCTGGGAGGTATGGCACTCCTGGGAGGTATGGCACTCCTGGGAGGTATGGCACTCCTGGGAGGTATGGCACTCCTGGGAGGTATGGCACTCCTGGGAGGTATGGCACTCCTGGGAGGTATGGCACTCCTGGGAGGTATGGCACTCCTGGGAGGTATGGCACTCCTGGGAGGTATGGCACTCCTGGGAGGTATGGCACTCCTGGGAGGTATGGCACTCCTGGGAGGTATGGCACTCCTGGGAGGTATGGCACTCCTGGGAGGTATGGCACTCCTGGGAGGTATGGCACTCCTGGGAGGTATGGCACTCCTGGGAGGTATGGCACTCCTGGGAGGTATGGCACTCCTGGGAGGTATGGCACTCCTGGGAGGTATGGCACTCCTGGGAGGTATGGCACTCCTGGGAGGTATGGCACTCCTGGGAGGTATGGCACTCCTGGGAGGTATGGCACTCCTGGGAGGTATGGCACTCCTGGGAGGTATGGCACTCCTGGGAGGTATGGCACTCCTGGGAGGTATGGCACTCCTGGGAGGTATGGCACTCCTGGGAGGTATGGCACTCCTGGGAGGTATGGCACTCCTGGGAGGTATGGCACTCCTGGGAGGTATGGCACTCCTGGGAGGTATGGCACTCCTGGGAGGTATGGCACTCCTGGGAGGTATGGCACTCCTGGGAGGTATGGCACTCCTGGGAGGTATGGCACTCCTGGGAGGTATGGCACTCCTGGGAGGTATGGCACTCCTGGGAGGTATGGCACTCCTGGGAGGTATGGCACTCCTGGGAGGTATGGCACTCCTGGGAGGTATGGCACTCCTGGGAGGTATGGCACTCCTGGGAGGTATGGCACTCCTGGGAGGTATGGCACTCCTGGGAGGTATGGCATTCCTGGGAGGTATGGCACTCCTGGGAGGTATGGCACTCCTGGGAGGTATGGCACTCCTGGGAGGTATGGCACTCCTGGGAGGTACGGTACTGCTCGAAGAGACTGTGTTGCAACGTTACCTTTTCCTTGAAACAGTAACTAAATTTCCATTCGACTATGAATGTTAGCAGAATGGGGTACTACAGAAGCTACTTTCTCAGATTACCTAAAGACAAAAGCAACATCCAGAAACTTGCTCAAGAATCTTGCTTTCTCGGATTACCAAAAGACGAAAGCTACATCCAGAAACTCGCCCAAGAATCTTGCTTTTGAAACCGACATCTACTGGTGCTCTTGTGCTCAATGTGCTGCTGGTGGCGCTGCTGCTGGTGCAGGAGATGTTAGGTCCTCTTGATGCGGGAGCTAGTTCTCCACGTCGAATCCGACGTAAAACATTTGGTGCTCGTGGCATTGCTTCTGGTCATGTTGGTCCTCTTGATGCTGGAGCTAGTTCTCAGTTTCGAATCCGACATGAAAAAGTTCGAAACAATTTGCGAATGCAGTTTCTGTACCACCACATTCCGGTACCATCCGTAGTTGATTGCATTGGGTCAAGGGGCCAATCTTCTTCACCACTTGGTTCCCATTTTGATATCTGTACTTCCTTCCCTGCGCTGCCCTCTGCCTTCCCTGCGCTGCTCTCTACCTTCCCTGTATTACCCCCTGCCTTCCTTACTCTGCCCTCTTCCTGTCCCCCCTGCCCTCTGCCCTCCCACCTGTGTGTCCAGATGCGGCGCATGCAGTGACGCCAGGGCTGGGGCAGGGCGCCAATCTGGCGTTTGAGGATGCGGCTTAGCTGGTGGAGTGCCTCCGGGGAAAGACCCATGTCAGGTGGGTGCTGCATTTCTCAGGAGGGTGCTGCATTTGTGAGGAGGGTGCTGAATTTGTGAGGTGGGTTGTCAGGTAGGTTGTCAGGTGGGTGTAGTCGCATGGCGGGTGGGTTTAATGGCATGCCATTATTTCCGCACTAGGTGATTACCACATGCTGGGTGTTCCCGTTGTTTCCATTGCACCATGGTGCATTCCCATGATCTTTCGTCCACTCACCCTCCTTCTGTCCCTCCCTTCGTCTTGCCCTCCCACCCCCCCTCTTTTGCCTCGTCTCTCCCTGGCTATTATCCATTATCATCCCTAATAACTGCCCTTTGCCCTGGCCATAACCCATTCTCATCCTATCCAGAGTCGCTCTTCGCTCCTTCCAATCCATCCGCATGCCACGCGTGCAAGCGGTGATATCACGGAACGTCACCCACACAAAGAAGCAGTATGATGCAGGAAGGAATGGGAGGAAAGCGGGCGGCGATGGAAATGACGCAGATGGATTGTCAGAGACTGAAGGTAAACAATCGCCATTGGCAGCGGCTGCGGCACAAGAGGGGAGTGATCCTAATGAGGACCTTTTTGGCTACGATGTTGTGGTTCTGGAGGAGGATCCTCGTGTTGCAAGTGTTGTACAGTGAATTGTCTTGAGATGTCTCATTACACAAGGGGCCATGATACTAATGAGGACCTTTTTGCTAGTACGTCATGGCTTGGGAGGATCCTCGGGTTGTGTGTCTTGTGCTGCGATTTGTTGCTGTTTTGACTGGTGGTGGTGTGATGCTGAGAAGATCCCATCATTGTTATTAGGGTGTTGCGGATTGGGAGGGGGATGGTTGTACTGCAAGTGTAGTGTGATCCGTAGCTGTATGTGCAGTGATGCATTTCAATCCGTCTCGTTTTCTAGGGGGTGTGCTGCCTCATTTAAAAAAATGGTCCGCTTCAATATCTCAGCCTCTACAACAGTGTTTCAAAAACGGTGAATGATTCTTTTGTGAGACGTTGGTGATACTTGCCCATATAGGTGCATCATTTTAGCTGCCATATTGTATATTTCACTTCCCTTCATTTTTCTAATGCTCTTCTGTACGTAAGAAATATTTCCATGTTTTCTTTTCTCCCCTTAGTACGCCATTTCGTAGAGGAGCGTACACTTCATACGCATTCCAAACCCGAGCCTCATCCCCAGCCAGGCTCGGCTGTCCGTAGCACAGCAAACAATACCTACCTAGCCAGTTCAGTTCTGCCCCAGGAACCACAAATTCTGGTTACGAACTAGGCTCGTTCTCCCCGAGGCAAGCCACATCCCCCACAGCGAAGGGTGTGTTCGAATTGAACAGCCAGAGCCTACCACACACAGATTCTTCAAGCTGCTTGTCTTTGAGTTACTAGGGTTGCCTAACCAGAATTCTAGGTAATTTATGAATTTGTGATGGCTTTCCATATCCTACTGACCAAGCTACTCTGTTACGTAGCTGCTTGTGATTCGTCCAGCTCCCGAATGGAAGGACGAGATGAAACGAAACTGCAATGGCGAACAAAACGGAATGCAGCCGTCCTGCCGTGAGGTATCTCACATGCCAGCTCAGTTTGAGAACCTTCATTGCCTATGGAGCCTGCCGCCTTTTGGTCTTCGAATCATGCTACGGATGCTGGTTTGGCATTCTGGTCCGGAGACACTAAACAGCCACGGTTTCCGCAAGCCCCTTAATCTTACCTTCTAACCTTGGGGGTCATTCACGGGAGTATCCTGCCAGACCTTATCACCCAGTCAGTGACAGAGTTTTCGTGCTTCCTTCATAATATACGGAACGAACGGCTTCAGTTTTTGAGCCAGCATCATAATCGAACGCTCCGGTAGTATGGCGGCCATGTCGCACATCGCGTCGGCCGTTCCGGGAGTATTGCGCATCTCAACCGTCCATGTAGTGGACCAGCGGGAAACAGCGTCACCATCTCTGAGCAGGAATTTGCGTTATCAGCTGACTCATTTCAAAATTCAAGCCTTACATGCTGAGTGCCGTGCGTCTGGCATCAATAAAAGCTTCAGCAGCAGTAGCATCAGTAGCAGCAGCTTCTTGACTAAGCGTTTTTTTGCAGCAAGGCCGTCTGGAACTCTCAATGACCTTAGTGGCTCTCGGAAGGTTGTTGCTGCGTCTGCGTCTGCGTCTGCTCCTGCTGCTGCTGCTGCTGCTGCTGCTGCTGCTGCGAGCAGCTCGCAAGGACCAGCAGTGTCGGAGGCAGTCATTGTGGGTGGAGGGTTGGCCGGCCTCGCAACTGCTATTGGCCTCCGGAACATTGGGATTGACGCGCAGGTGGGGTGCTACCTTAAAGCTGGAATTGGGTAGGAATGCTTAACATTGGGATTGACGCGCAGGTGGGGTGCTACCTTAAAGCTGGAATTGGGTAGGAATGCTTAACATTGGGATTGATGCGCAGGTGTGGTCACCCTACCTTAAAGCTGGAATTGGGTAGGAGTGCTTAACTTTGGGATTGATGCGCAGGTGTGGTCACCCTACCTTAAAGCTGGAATTGGGTAGGAATGCTTAACATTGGGATTGACGCGCAGGTGGGGTGCTACCTTAAAGCTGGAATTGGGTAGGAATGCTTAACATTGGGATTGATGCGCAGGTATGGTCACCCTACCTTAAAGCTGGAATTGGGTAGGAATGCTTAACATTGGGGTTGAGGCGCAGGTGGGGTGCTACCTGGAATCAGGGAAATATGTTGGATTCAGGTAAGATTGTCAAATAACGTGAATAGCTAGACATTACGATTCACGCTTAGAATGCATATGGCATAATTGTTCCATGTAACATGTGACCATTGCATGTAACATGTTATAGCGCATATGGTTGTGCGCTGTCATTGCAATGAAAATGTCTGTGTACTTTTCCGCGTATGTCGTCGCATGGCATCCCAGTCTCAACATACCATCCATGCGACAATAAGAAGAATTGAGTTTCACATGCCATGTCATGCCATTCTGTGCCATGCCTGCTATCCCATGCTATACCTGATGCCATATGCCCAAATCTAGGTGTACGAGGGAAGGGATGAGGTGCGAGGGGTGGTCTTTTGAGACGTCCAAACCAAAAAGCCTTTCCAATATATTCCTCATGCCTCATGTCACTTGCCATCCCTCATGCCACATCCCCATGTGCAGGTATACGAGGCACGGGACGGGGTGGTAGGCGAGGGAACCCTCATCACGCTCTATCCCAACGGGCTCAGAGCACTCAGCAGAATCGACCCTGCCATTGTGCCCCAGGCATGTGCCAGTGATGTATGCATGTGATGGATGTGGCTGTTCTGTGATGGTGATGGTTATCGCTGCGTGTGGGAGTAATGGCTGCATGTGATGGTGATGCTGGCAGCATGTGATGGTGATGCATGCATGTGATGGTGATGCCGGCATGTGATGGTGATGCCGGCATGTGATGGTGATGCCGGCATGTGATGGTGATGCCGGCATGTGATGGTGATGCCGGCATGTGATGGTGATGCCGGCATGTGATGGTGATTCATGCATGTGATGGTGATGCATGCATGTGATGATGATGCATGCATGTGATGGTGATGCATGCATGTGATGGTGATGCATGCATGTGATGGTGATGCATGCATGTGATGGTGATTCCGGCATGTGAGAGCCTGTAACTCCTAACCAAATTCTGGACCTCACCTGTTTCAACTTCAAATCATGCTCGGAATTTTCTTCTGTCTTACTCTCAAGCACCTTCAATCGATGCGCAGAATGTTCTTCGCAGTCCCCATTCGCCATCCATGTGATCTCCCATTCTCCTCTTTCCTCCAACTCATATCCCGTGCAGTACCGAATTCCACCGTTCTCAGCCGCTCTCCAACCTGCGATCTCTGTTTCCAATGGGAGCTCGCGTTCCCCTTGATCGCAACACTTAGGCTTTCCCATGCTGCCCATTCGCTGTTGCTTGCCTCCTTTCCCTCCCTTGCCCCATTCCCTCCCGCCTCTTCTTCCCCGCAGCTCATATCTCGAGGAGTACCGGACCCCACCATTCTCGGCCGCTCTCCAATCGGCAATATTCTTTTCCAGTGGGACCTCGCGTCCAATTTGAGGCTTTCCCTCCCTTTACCCATCCCCTTTCGCCCCCTATTTCCCGCAGCTCATATCTCGAGGATTACCGGACCGCACCATTCTTGGCCGCTCTCCAACCGGCGATATTCTTTTCCAGTGGGACCTTGGGTCCAACATGACGGCCCGGTTTGGCTTCCCCCTGCTGAACATCCTTTGTTGTTCGCCTCCTTCCCTTCCTTGCCTCCTTTTCCCCTCAGCTCATAGCCCGAGGAGTACCGGACCCCACCATTCTCGGCCGCTCTCCAACCGGCAGTATCCTTTTCCAGTGGGACCTTGGGTCCAACATGACTGCCCGGTTTGGCTTCCCCCTGCTGAACATCCGCTGGCAAGAGGTCTTAGACGTGTTGCTTGGGATGCTGCCGAACGACGCCGTCCATGCCGGGCACAGGCTCGTGAGGTTCACGCAGGAAGAGGAGGAAAAGGAGGGGGGAGGAGGTGCTGAGGGGAGCGGCTCGGTGAAATGCGTGTTCAAGGAGGTTTCGGGCTGTGAAGAGCGGTTGCTGGAGGTGGAGGTGAGTGGGGGAAAGGAGGTGGAGAGAGGAGGAAGGTGGGGGATGGTGGCAAGACAATTACTATCTGATTTCAGAATTCTCAGAATGTCTGGTTGGTGCAGGCATCTTGTCATTGCCCACACAAAAGGGTGGGTGGGGTAAGGAAGGATGGGTGGGGTACGGAAGGGTGGGTGGGTGGGGTGAGGAAGGGTGGGTGGGTTGATGACGAAGACATTTGTCTCTGCCATGCTCTCTCCCTCGTTGTGGCACCTACTTCTACCTCTCTCCACCGCACTTGTCTGGCATTTCCTTCCCTGAACCTCCCCGACTGCCAGACCCCTCTGCTGCTGGGGGCAGACGGCATTCACTCGGAGGCACGGAAGCAGCTGCTGGGCGGGACAGCAGGCAAGGGAGTGAGTCCGCGGGACAACGGCAGAACCCACTGGAGGGCCATCATCGACAGCAGCCTCTGCCCTCACCCCGTATGTGCCCCTCTTTTGAGCCGAGTCAAAATGTGTCATGTGCCATTGTAACGAGGTGACTTTTGAGTCGACTCAAAAGACAACGTGCCCCTTGGCCCCCTACGTATGCGCCCACTCCCCCCACCCAAACTGCATTGTGTGCTTTCTATGTGTGATGGTGTTTGAGCCTACTGAAAAAAATGCTTGTGTGACAGCTTTTGAGTCTCTAAAAAAATCCATGGTTCTATCCCATTCCTGGCCTTCCCTTCCCTTGATGCAGCTGGTGCAGCTACGTCAGGTAAACACCATTCTCGGTGCCGACCGCACTGCATCCGTGTTTTGAGTCGACTCAAAACACGACTCGGCCTTCCCTTCCCTTTCCCTTCCCTACCAGCAGCTGGTGCAACCACGTCAGGTAAACACCATACTCGGCGTCGACCGCACTGCAACCGCCGCCGATGCTGGAGCAGGCAGGCTCTACTGGTCGTGCACACTCTGTCAGGTTACTCACCCCTTACCTGCCCCCCTTCCTGCAGCTGGTGCAGCCACGTCAGGTGAACACCATTCTCGGTGCCGACCGCACTGCAACTGCCGCCGATGCTGGAGCTGGCAAGCTCTACTGGTCGCTCGCGCTCGTTGATTCCGCCGATCCGACGGTCAGCAGCGAGCCGTCCAACGGAGGGGAGGAGGCGAGGGAGAAGATTCTGCGGGCTTTTGAGGGGTGGGATGCGGTGGAGCAGCTGGTGAATGCCACTTCCCCTGAGCTCATTCGCGAGAGTCGCGTGCTTGACCTTCCGCCCCTGCCCTTCTGGGTCCATGGGAGGGTAGCGCTCATGGGAGGTATGATACTCCTGGGAGGTACGGATCTCATGAGAGGTATGGCTCTCCTGGGTGGTGTCCCCAAAAGGTTATGTACATGTGGCCAACTCCTCCACGCGTATTCCCTGTTTTTTGTGATACAGGTTTGTGTGGCGCCGCGCCCCCGAAAAGGTTATGTACACGTGAACAACCTCTGCACGCTCATACCCTGTTTTCTGTGGTACAGCGCTCACACGCACAGGCAGAGGTCAACTGCTTCGTTCTTGATTCCACTTCTGCTTGCTCTCTGCCTTCCCCACATTTCCCTCTGCTTTCTGCCCGTCTGCCTGTCCAGATGCGGCGCATGCAGTGACACCAGCGCTGGGGCAGGGCGGCAATCTGGCGTTTGAGGATGCTGCTCAGCTGGTGGAGTGCCTCCGGGCGCACTCGCATGTCAGGTGAGTTGTCAGTTCAGGTGGGTGTGATGGCATCAGGTGGGTATGATAGCATACCAGGTAATTGCCCGCCGTTGTTTCCACTTAAGGTGCTTGTTCTCTATTGTTCTTTTCCAGGCGTTCTTTTAAAGAATTTTCAGAAGACTCTCCAAGATGACTCTGTCCCTCCCCGTTGTGGCAGGCTTTTTTTTGTAATATTCTGAAACGGCTTCCCGAGATATATGTTTTCCTCCCCCCCCCACCCTCCTTCCCATCCCTTCCGGTGATGCTCTTTGCTCTGTCCAATCGCTCCGCATGCCATGAGTGGGTCTTTGAAACGCCTTTAAAGCACAACCACTCCTCCCCTCTCTCCCCCCTCCCTCCCGCCTCCGTTTCTGCTTCCCATTTCTTCCAGTGATGCTCTCCGTTCCTTCCAATCCCTCCGCATGTCACGAGTGCAAGCGGTGTCAGCACGGAACACTGCTCAAACAAAGAAGGTGTTTGACAAGGAGAGAGAGGGGAAAGAGGGGAAAGAGAAGAATGCAGCAGGTAGTGATGAAAGTGAGGCGAAAGCAGCGCCAAAGATCGAAGAAGTTCAAGCGGCATCGGCTGCAGTGGCAGCAAGAGAGGGGCGTGATCCTGACGAGGAGCTGTATGGTTATGACCTTGTGGTTCTGGAGTAGGATGTTGTGCTGTGAGTGTTGAGCACTACTAACGTGTCCTTGTTAAAGAACGTTCCATTACAAGGGGGCGTGGTCCTGACGAGGAGCTGTATGGTTATGACATCGTGGTTCTGGAGTAGGATGTTGTATGCGATTCCTTCTTAGATGTCTCGTTATGAACAGGCCGGGCCAGGGCCATCCTGACGAGGACCTGTACAGTTGTGGTTTTGGAGGAGGATTGTCATATTGCAAGTGCCGTGTGGTAACGTAACGTCCGTGCCCGTGTTAACAATGTTGTCATTACAAAGGGGTGTGATGCTGATTACGCTCACTATGCTTGAGACAAGATCTTGTTGTGTTGCAGTTGTGTAGCGAGCCAAGCGTGTCATGTCTTCTAATAAGCAATTATGTGTACAGTGCTTACAATCATGTAAAAAGCATCATACAGCCTCACTTCTAACAGGACCCAACCCAACCCGGCCCAACCTAGCCATTCTAGGAAGCATCATGCAGGTTGAAGGTGAAGCAGAACAGGTACTGAAGGTCACGAAAAATAAGCTAAGACCACGAAAAATCAGCTGCAAGAGGTGCTACCACGGAACAAAAACCACTGAACTGTGATAGACAATCTAAGGACAGCCCCTCCCGCCATCCTTTCATCCAGGGACCAGCAGAGATGTCAATAAGTGTAACTGAGTGATATGAGGACGGACACTCAAGAAGCTCAGGCCCTCTCTGAGGCACCTCAAGAACCCTATGTGGAACTGCTAAGAAGGAACTGGGTAATCTGAGTACAGGCACTCATGGAGCTCAGACCCCTCAAGAGGAACTGTGACGAGGAAGTGTGTCATAGGAGTACAGGTACTCGTAGAGCTCAAGACTCCTCACGACTCCTCAAGACCACTCAAGACTCCTCAAGACCACTCAAGACTCCTCAAGACCACTCAAGAACCCTCAAGACCACTCAAAAACCCTCAAGACCACTTAAGACTGCTCAAGGGAAAGTGTGTCATAAGAGTACAGGTACTCATAGAACTCAGACTCTTCTCCCCCTCCCTTGCCTGCTGTCGTTGCACCTGCTGCTGCTTCGGTTCTCTCGCTGCTATCCCTCTCTGTGCCCTCTTCTTCTTTATCTTCATAGATTTTCTTGGACGACGCGACGTTCTGTGAGACCACAGCTTGGACACGTGGCATGCGGATGGATTGGAAGGAATGCAAGGCATCGCTGCAGAGAGGGCAGAGGGGGATAGAGGGAGGGGGTTGGACGCATGTGGAGGGGGGGTTGTGATACCACGGCTTGCACACACGGCACGCGGATGGACTGGAAGGAATGCAAGGCGTCCCTGCAGATGGAGTGCGAGGGAGGGGGATAGACGGGGGGTGGGACACACACATATGGAGGAAGGACACGCAATTCTCCTGCCCCTCATATGCTCTTTCGGACGATGCGACATTCTGTAAGACCATGGCTTGCACACGCGGCACGCGGATGGACTGGAAGGAGAGTAAAGCGTCACTGCAGATAGAGTGAGGAGGGACACAGGGGGGAAGGATAGCGAATTTCAGTCAACTCGAAACCAGAGACTGGTGGGAATGCCAAGGGGTCTCTCCAGTGAGGGTGTGGAGGGGTGGAAGGAGGAAAGGGTAAGCAACAGGGGAGTGTATGAGGGGTGGGGAGAAGAGAACAGGGAACGACGAAAAAAGAATGTGAAAAGAACCAAACAGGTCACCTGCAAGCAATCCAGCCCCTGATGCACACCGACAACCAAATAGCATGAGCGTGAGCCTACCCGACACCAGTCAACACACCTGAAAACCCACCTGATAACCAACCTGGCAACCCACCCAACAACTTACCTGGAAACCCACTCGACAACCCACCTGCCAACCCACCTCAAAACCCACCTGATAACCCACCTGACAACCCACCTGGCAATCCCTGGCAATCCCTGGCAATCCCTTGCAACCCACCTGAAAACCCATCTAACAACCCACCCGGCATGGGGTTGCGCCCACCTGACATCCCACCTGAGAGCCCACCTGACATGGGTGTTCGCAAGGAGGCACTCCACCAGCTGAGCCGCATCCTCAAACGCCAGATTGGCGCCCTGCCCCAGTGCTGGCGTCACTGCATGCGCCGCATCTGGACACACAGGCAGGTGAAAAAACAGAAGGCAGAGGAGACGTTGAAAAGGCACACATGCCATCGAAAAGAAGCTGTCAAGACAGGAAGGCAGAGGAGATGTTGTAGGAAACACATGCAGACAACGATTGTTCTCCTGCCCCAGTGATGCCTCACTGCACGTGCTGCATCTGGCCGGACAGAGGACGATGCAGGCAGAATGCAGAGGGTAGGTCACTGATGGCAGCCAAAAAAACAAAACAAAACAAAAAAACAAAAAGCCAGCTCTAGCAGATGTCATACCTCCGAGGAGAGCCGTCCTGCCTTTGACCCAGAAGGGCAGGGGCGGGAGGTCGAGCACGCGGCGTTCAAGAATGAGGTCGGGGGGAGTGGCGAGCGCGAGCTGAGTCACCACATCCCACCCCTCAAACGCCTGCAGAATCTTCCCCCGCGCCTCCTCCCCCCCGCTGGACCGTGCGCTGCTGACCGTTGGATCGGCGGAATCGACGAGCGTGAACGCCCAGTAGAGCCTGCCTGCTGCAGCGTCTGATATGGTGGCTGTGCGGCCGGGGCCCACCATGGCTAGGATGTGTTGCGGATTGAGGAGCTGTGAGGAGGGAAGAAGGAGTAAGAGAGGGATGTAAAGACGAAGAATGAGGAAAGAGGAGAACAGGCTGTAAAAGGACGCTCGGTACAGCCTGCTTGCAGTGGCGTTGAAAATGGTTGCTGTGCAGCCAAGGCCAAAGCCCCACCATGGCCAAGATGTGTCGGGGCTTGAGGCGCTGTGAGGCAAAATCTTGCTGTATTTAACTAGAGAGTGGTGCTTTTGTGGTGGTCAAAGAGAGCCTTCTTGCGCGTGGTGGCGCCGGAGACGGTTGTGGTGTGGCCGGGTGTTTTTGGGTCTTCTCAAAAACACCCTGCAGCTAGATGGTTATGGTGTGGCCGGGGTCCACCATAGCCAAGATGTGGCAGAGTCTGAGGAGCTCTGGGGAGAGTGTTACTACAAGGTCTAGGTGCAGTGCGGCTGTGGAGCTGTGAGACATGAGAGACTCTAAGTGTACCAAGAGCGTGTCGTAACTCACAACCCCACAACCGCACTGCACCTAAACCATGTGATAACTCACCACCCCACAACCGCACTGCACCCTAAACCATGTGATAACTCACCACCCCACAACCGCACTGCACCTAAACCATGTGATAACTCACAACCCCACAACCGCACTGCACCTAAACCATGTGATAACTCACCACCCCACAACCGCACTGCACCCTAAACCATGTGATAACTCACAACCCCACAACCGCACTGCACCTAAACCATGTGATAACTCACAACCCCACAACCGCACTGCACCTAAACCATGTGATAACTCACAACCCCACAACCGCACTGCACCCTAAACCATGTGATAACTCACCACCCCACAACCGCACTGCACCCTAAACCATGTGATAACTCACAACCCCACAACCGCACTGCACCTAAACCATGTGATAACTCACCACCCCACAGCCGCACTGCACCTAAACCATGTGATAACTCACAACCCCACAACCGCACTGCACCTAAACCATGTGATAACTCACAACCCCACAACCGCACTGCACCTAAACCATGTGATAACTCACCACCCCACAACCGCACTGCACCTAAACCATGTGATAACTCACATCCGCACAACCGCACTGCACCTAAACCATGTGATAACTCACCACCCCACAACCGCACTGCACCTAAACCATGTGATAACTCACAACCCCACAACCGCACTGCACCTAAACCATGTGATAACTCACCACCCCACAACCGCACTGCACCTAAACCATGTGATAACTCACCACCCCACAACCGCACTGCACCTAAACCATGTGATAACTCACCACCCCACAACCGCACTGCACCTAAACCATGTGATAACTCACATCCGCACAACCGGATGCACCAAGACCATGCCAGAACTCACAGCCCCACAACCGCATGAGTGAGGAAGAGCGAGAGGTGAAGGAAGAGAGCGGTGAGAGGAGAACAGACAAGGCAGCATAGAAACTTTAAGACAGCTAATTTAGAATAGAAGTTGGGAACATAGAGGCAAATGTTGGCTGGAATGTGTTAGAGTAAGATTCAATCCAGCAGCACACGGTGAGAGCAGCCAACAAACAAGGCAGCAATGCAGCATGGAGGTGCAAGACAACTTACACAGGACACAAAAAGGAACTTAGATGGGTATAACTGCACACCAACAGGCACATACGGGATGGAAGCAGAGAGGCACACATACTGGATGGGGGCAGAGGCTGCTGTCGATGATGGCCCTCCAGATGGTTCTACCGTTGTCCCGCGGACTCACTCCCTCGCCTGCTGTCCCCACCAGCAGCTGCTTCCGTGCCTCCGAGTGAATGCCATCTGCCCCCAGCAGCAGCGGGGTCTGGCGAATGGGGAGGTTCAGGGAAAGAATTGTACAGTGAGCTCAGTATGGTGGAGAGTGGTCCACAACGCAAGAGAGAAGGAATGGGAGAAAGAGTTGCTGTATTTGCGTCTGGCGGGTGGAGGCGAAAGAAAGGGAGGGGTGAAATGCGGTGGAAAGAGGTCGAAGTGTGGTTAAGTGTGTGTGCAGAGCAGAGGAAGTGCTAGTAAACGGGTTGGAGTGGCAAGAGAGAGAAAAACTCCCAAGTGGTTCCTGCTATCCCACTTCATTTCACGCCTACACCAAGAGTTGGAGAATGAGATGCACCATGTGCTTTCGGCTACACTTGTCATTACTCGCCTCCCCACCCCACCCCTCTCCTCCTTCCTCAACACACCCCACACCAAACCACACCTCACCCCTCAACACCCACCTCCACGCGCACGAGATGCTCGTTGCCGCAAGATACAGTGGAGAAAAAGCACTCCACCGTGCCTTTTCCCTCTGCCACGCTCTCCACCGCACCAGACTCCTCTCCGTTCCTTCCAGCCTCCTCCATCTGCGTGACCTTCACGAGCCGGTGGCCGGTGTGGACGGCGTCGTTCGGCAGCATTCCACGCAGCACGTCGAGCACGTCCCGCCAGCGGATGGAGAGCATGGGCAGGCCAAAGCGAGCAGTCATGGTGGCACTGTAGCCCCACGGGGCGATGACTTCGCCCGCGGGGGAGAGGAGAAAACTCGCAGGATCCGTCACACCCAGGGGAATCAGCTGGAGAGGATAGGGAGGGGAGGGAAGGGCAAGGCAGGAGATGAAGAGAAGGAAGCTGTTGCTGGAGGGCATGGTGGCACTGTAGCCCCTTGGGGCAATCATGTCTCCTGAAGGCGAGAGGAGGAAGCTGGCCGGGTCTGTCACTCCCAGAGGAATCAGCTGGAGGAGAATGGGGTGAGGGATGGATGGGGACGGCAACATGAGCCAAAGTGTATGTTTTTTGAGAATTCTAAAAAAAAATACACTGGGGTGAGGGATGGATGGGGACGGCAACATGAGCCAAAGAGGAATGGAGGGAACAGCAGGAGCGGATGGCGAGCATGAGAAAGCGGAAGCGGGCGGTCATGGTGGCACTGTAAGCGGTTCTTGAGAACGCTCAAAAGCCACCTACGTTACTGTTGTGAGCTGCAGCCTGCAGGCATGCATCTGGCACATCACCTCACATCATATGCCTGGGGCACAATCGCAGGGTTGATTCGGTTGAGCGCCCTGAGCCCGTTGGGGAAGAGAGAGAGGAGGCATGCACGCACCTGCTACTTATTATCACATGCACGCATCACCAACACGCACAGCCTTGCCATTACTATCACAAACGACGTAATGGGAAGAGGCAGAGGAGGCACGCATGCAAGCATCACCGAGACACACAGCCATGCCATTATCATCACGAATCACATGCCTGGGGCACAATGGCAGGGTCGATTCGGCTGAGCGCCCTGAGCCCGTTGGGGAAGAGAGAGATGATGGTGCCCTCCCCTCCTCCCACCTCCTTGCGCGCCTCATACACCTGCACAAAGGTCATGGGACAAAAAGCAAGAATAGGACGTGCGTTGAGCCCGTTGGGAAAAGAGAGATGATGGTGCCCTCCCCTCCTCCCACCTCCTTGCGCGCCTCATACACCTGCACGCCAATTTTGAGACAGGACGTGCATTGAGACGTGTTGGCAAGTTGTAAGGCGCCTAAAAAAACGCGCCTCATACACCTGCACGCCGGATTTGAGACATGGTGCTGGTAGTGTAGCAGTGGTGCTGGCACTTTAGCACTCTGCAGCAGTAGCAGCAGTCCCAGCTCGCTCACCTGTGCGTCAATCCCAATGTTCCGAAGGCCGATAGCCAATGCGAGGCCGGCCAATCCTCCACCCACAATGACTGCCTCCGACACTGCTGGCCCTCCTGAGCCCGTGCTGCTTGCGGAAGCAGCAGCAGCAGAAGATGCAGAAGCGGCGACATCCCTGCGGCTGTGGTTGGCACCAGGAGCAGCAGACGCCATCGCTCTCTTGAATCTGCTGCTAATGCAGCCGCTCCTACCGTTGCTGTTCAAGCAACCTTCACAAAAGGTGGTGGTGAGGCCTATGGAGCTGCCAGGTGCGAGACGCACAGCATGTGATGCGCGTGCCTTGAATCGAACAGTCAGAGGACGGGGATTGTTGCTTGGTTGTACACGTGGTATACGCGGTCTTACTTGGCGATCAAGCAAGCACACCTTTGTGGGGCCTGCTGCTAGTCCGTAAACGCCAGAAACGGCTGCTGCAGTCATAGCCGATGCGCGTATCGAGCTGCTCTCTGTTAAATCGCTGATTTTGGAAAGAAAGAAAGAGAAGTACTGATCGTTACTGAGCACTATGTTTTATGCCAAAGCGACTCGACCCAGAGACCGTTAACCACTTATTCCAGGCGAAGGAATTTGAGACCTGCCTGGTAGTACCACGCATTGATGCGTTAAGCGTTCATCTCGAAAGAATCTCTGTCGTCCCTGTCCAATCAATTCCCCAGTCATCTGAACGTAGTAACATCGAGTTTTGGAACATGTTTCCACGCGTTTGACACTGCTAGTGAGTGCCATTGCGTGCTATTGAGAAACAGGACCTCAAAACGACGCTTCTTCCCAGATGTCGCAACAGAGTGGATCAAGGCTCGAGACATCGGAAACAGATTCGTTCCTGAACGCCCAATTCCTATTGAGACCATCTCAGTCTTGACTTGGACGGAAAGGACGGGCGACAACGAGACTCCTCGAAACGAATGTCGTCTCGAGCTATCCGAGGAACCGCGACTGGCCCCCCATGCTCCACATGGAGCCGCGAACAAGGCGGGCCGTCGTAATCTCACGAAAAAAACCTTGCTGCATATGATGACATACGCAGCTATTGTTTCTCGCCCGATTGCCAACTTTGTCCCTAGATTCTCCCTTCCTAGATTCTCGCTTGTCTCGGGATTGCCGAAACAAGCCGACTCGTTCATGATACAGTCAAGCGTCGCTCTACAGTAAATCTAAAAGCTCTTTTTGAGCCAAAGAACTAGCTTGTACATCACTAGGATGCAGAAACCTAACAGCCCAAATTTGGCTAGTGCAACATGATTTACACTGCAATAAAAGAAAGGTACAGCTGTATATAAATCAACACCTTGGTCAACCTTAAGGCTAGAAACTGCCAGATTCAGCCACAGCAGCAGTTCTTCTTCAGCCACTTGCTTGGCAGAAATGTAGCATGGAGTTCAACAAGGAACCTTTACCAAACCAGTCAAAAGTCAACAACCAAGCTGTTATGAGCAGCCGAAGGACAAACCTGGGCATCCATACCCCCAAGTCTGGCTGCAGCAAGCCTGGCTCCACCACGCCACGTGCAGCAACTGCTGCAACCAGCACACTCTTGACTGAGGGGGATGCAGGCCACGGACCTGGGGGCGGCAAGGCAGGTGGATGTTGTAGTAAGCCTGTAAGGCCGTCTTTAATGCAGCGAGAGATGGTGTGCTGTGCATGCAAGGCAAGCAGTCCTGAGGGACGGCGCTGCAATCTGTGGCATAAATACCAGCTGTGTGTGTTGGCATAAGTAGTTAAAAGTCAACAGTGAAGGTGCTACGACTGGTCAAAGCACCAGCCTGGCCACTAGCATTCCCGAGTCGGGCTGAGGGCAAACCCCCCTTCCCCAGCCCCAGCAGCTGATGCACCCAGTGCATTCCCAGACTGAGTTGACTCTTGAGTCGACTCAAAAGTCATCTGGCTGAGGCAAACCCCCCTCCCCCAGCCCCAGCAGCTGATGCAGCCAGCGCATTCCTAGACTGAGGTGGGACAGGGCGAGGGGGGCGGCGGGGCAGGTGGGTGTTATACGGCCGTCTGTAGTGGAGAGGGTTGGTGTGCATGCGCGGCAAAGAATCCTGCGGCGAGGCGGTAGGATCAGAGGCATAAGCGCTACTGTGTGGGTTTGCAAAGCGGTTGTGCGCGGTATGGGAGGGAAGGGAGGGGTTTGCAGGGTCGTAGGAGGGAGGAGGGGAGACGTGAGAGAAGGAAGGAGAGCCGGCGAGAGCGGAGGGTGTGTTGGAGGGAGGAGGGGAGACGTGGGTGGTGCTTCCTGGGTGCTGCTGCTGCGTGTGGCGTTGGGAGGTTTGGAGGGCTTGGGGGGTTTGGTTAGAAGGTGGATAGAACAATGCGTTAGAGGTGGGAAGGAATGGCTCTGTGGAGGAAGTTAGGAGGGAAAACTGCTGCAGCTGCTGTTGGTGTTTCTGTTGCTGCTGCTGCTGTTGCTGTTGCAGTTGCTGCTTCTGTTGCTGTTGCAACTGCTGTTGTTGTTGCTGTTGCTGTTGTTGTTGCTGCTGCCACTGATGCTGCTGCCGCAGCTGATTCCCATCACTCTCCTCTTGCTCAGCATGCACTCGCATCACCTCCCGAGCTCGCACACTCACCCCCCCACCAGGGACCTCCTGCCTCTCCTGCTCGAATGAAAACATGTCGCCACTGTCACAGTCCAATACAGTAACAACACTCTCATTTCCACGGCCCAATGCCGGAGCTCTTTCCTCTGCCTCACCAAGCTTCCAAACCGGTTGGCCAGCCTCAGGGACTTCCCGAGCCTCCGGGTTGAAGGAATTGGGGGAAAAGAATGTGGGGGAGAGAGGCGGTTGCTGGTTATATGGAGGGGCTGTATGGGGAGAGCGCAAGGGGGAGTGTGGGGGGAATGAGGGATGGGATGGGGAGTGTGCATGGGGGGAGTGAAGGGGGGAATGGGGGGAGTGCAGTACTTGTGTGGGGGACTGTAGGGGGGAATGGGGAGTATGGGTGAGGCCATGGGGGGAGTGCATAGGAGGGTGGGGGGAGAGTGGGGCAGCATGAGGGGAGTGCATGGGCGCATGGGGGGAGTGCATGGGCGCATGGGGGGAGTGTGGGGTAGCATGGGGGGGTTGCATGGGCGCATGGGGGGAGAGTGGGGCAGAACGTGGGGAGTGCATGGGCGAATGGGGGGACTCCATGGGCGCGTGGGGGGAGTGCAAGGACGCATGGGGGGAGTGCATGGGCGCATGGGGGGGGTGCATGGGCGCATGGGGGGAGTGCATGGGCGCATGGGGGGAGTGTGGGGCAACACGTGGGGAGTGCATTGGAGAACGGGGGGAGTGCATGGGCGCATGGGGGGGGTGCATGGGAGCACGAGGAGAATGAAGGGGCGAATGGGGGGAGTGAGTGAGCGTGTGCTGAGAGTGAGGAGGGTGAATGGGAGCTTGAGCAGGCATTTCCTGCATTTCAAACGGCCCATACACGCCCTGGGAGGGGCTAGCAGGTGCATGCTGCACCAATGCTGGGACAGGGCTGGTTGGGACATGCATGAGCGCATGAATAGGGCTGGATGGGGGAGCATGCTGTATGGCCATGCTGTGAGGGGAGGTAGCCTGCTGCCACTGCTGCCCCTGCCCCTGCTGCTGCCCCTGCTGCTGCCCCTGCTGCTGCCCCTGCTGCTGCTGCCACTGCTGCCCCTGCCCCTGCTGCTGCCCCTGCTGCTGCCCCTGCTGCTGCCACTGCTGCTGCTGCTGCCCCTGCTGCTGTTGCCGCTGCTGCTGCTGTCCCTGCTGCTGCCACGGCTGCTGCGACTGCTGCTGCTGCGCCTGCTGTGGTGAGAGTGGCGACAGGGGGGGCCTATGCTCTAACCGATGTGAGCTGAACTGCTCCCGAGAAAGGGGGGATGAAAGAGGAGAAAGAGGAGAACGAGCGGACGGAGATCGCAAGGGAGGGGTAGGAGGAGGGGGCAGGCCGGCATAAGGGCTTCTGGCAGAGGGAGAGCGGATTGCAGTCTGGTTGTGAGGGCTTAAAGCCCCGCTTTTGGGGCTGGACTGGTTGAAGATCTGATTTGGAGATGCACGAGGGGGGCATGCCACTGGGCCCGGCCTCTGTGCCCTGTAGCTGCTGCTGCTGCTGCTGCTGCTGCTGATGCTGCTGCTGCTGCTGCTGCTGCTAGCGCTGTTGCTGCTGCTGCTGCTGCTAGCGCTGTTGCTGCTGCTGCCGCCACTGCTGCTGTTACTGATGCTGCCAGTGCTGCTGCTAGTGCTGCTGCCGCTGCAGCTGCTGCTGCTGCTGCTGCTGGCGTAAGCAGCGAGAGCATTGACAGAAGGGAGGGCAGAAGCAGCGCGGCGGGCAGCACGAGGAGCCTGCAGAGGCCCTGACAAGGCCCGGCGCTTCGGAGGCGCATCCAGGCCCGGCCGAAGCGGGGAGGAGGACGAGGAGGAGGGTGAGGAGGGGGTGGAGGGCCGGGGAATGTGCTCCTCTTGCGTTGGATGAGCAGGGAGGATAGAAGCAGAGCGGCGGACAGCAGAAGGAGCATGCAAAGGGCCTGAAAGGGCACGGCGGGAGGGAGGCGCACCCAGCCTGGGGTGAATCGGGGAGGGGGGAGAGGTGGAGGAGGAGGTGGATGGTCGCGAAATCTGCTCCTCTTGGATCTGGTCAGGAGTGTCGGAAGGAGAGGAAGGATCAGGCCGTTCCCCAACGGGAGAGCTGGGGACATGTTGAGAGGAAGGGTTGAGCCGTTGCCCTCTTGCCTGCCCCTGCTGCTGCTGCATCTGCCCCTGTTGCTGCTGCATCTGTCCCTGCTGTTGCTGCATCTGTCCCTGCTGTTGCTGCATCTGCCCCTGCTGTTGCTGCATCTGCCCCTGCTGTTGCTGCATCTGCCCCTGCTGTTGCTGCATCTGCCCCTGCTGTTGCTGCACCGACCCCTGCTGATGCTGCATCTGTTGCTGCATTTGCATCTGTTGCTGCATCGGCCCCTGCCCCTGCTTCTGCACCTGCCCATGCTGTTGCATCTGCTCCTTTGCCTGCCCAAGTCCCTGCCCTTGCAGCTGCATCTGCCCTTGATGCTGCATCTGCCCTTGATGCTGCATCTGCCCTTGATAATGCATCTGCCCAACCATCTGCCCCTGTGCCTGCCCCTGCATTTCCCCCTGATGCTGCAACTGCCCTTGGACTCTAAATTGCTGCTGCTGCCCAGAAGAGGACAGAGAGGGTCGCTGGGCAGCAGAGGAGGGTCGCTGGGAAGCAGAAGAAGGCCGCTGGGCGGCAGAAGAAGGCCGCTGGGCGGCAGAAGAAGGCCGCTGGGCGGCAGAAGACCCCTGGGTGGCAGCAGAAGTCCGCTGGGCGGCAGCTGAAGGTTGCTGGGCAGCGGAGGACGGCCGCTGGTAAGCCGAGGACGACGTACGCTGGAGACTTCCAGGACCAAGGCGGGAGGGAACGGCAGGAAAGGATGAAAGAGCGTCAGGCGTCTGGACGCGATTCAGCTGCGTTGGGTCGTCGGTGTGCTGCCGCAGCAGGCGGCGGTTACCCTGGGTAGAGTTAGGGTTATCCCGGCCACGGCCACTGCCAGGAGCAACACCACCTGCAGCACCAGCAGAAGAGCCACTAGCACCACGACCACTGCCAGTGCTGTAACCAGCTCGTCTAGAGGCACCTGGGGCGTTGCCAGTTGCAGCTACAGGAGCCAGTCCCTCATCCTCCTCCTCCTCCTCCTTCTCCTTCTCCCAATCCTCTTCCCCTGATCCTGATACGAGTTGCACTGATCCTGCTCCTCCTCCTGCTGCTCTTGCTGCTGCTGCTGCTGATGAAGGTGCTGCTGCTGATGAGGGTCGGAACTTCTCATAGTTCCGGAGAGAGAGAGTAGCAGACGGAGAGCCTGAGACTCGACCAGCACCACCACCACCGCTACCCCTACCACCACCACCACCACTACCCCTACCACCACCCCTACCCCTACCTCTGCCCCGGCTGCCCAGCCGGTCACTACTTACCCCGGCTGCTGACACAGAAGAACCAGCAGCCCTGGGCCCTATAGCACCTGTGGTAACCCCTGTGGTAACCCCATCGCCCATTGCCACACTCCCCGTGCCGCCCGTATTCCACTCCTGACCTTGCCCAGCCTCCACACCCCCGGGTAAGCCCCCACCTGAGTCATCTACATCTCTATCCACGTCAGCGTAAACGTCACCCCCCTCCAGCTGCCCCATAAAAGCCCCAGCGTTGCCGAGCGATGCCGACCGCATAATAAATGCTCTACCGGCCCTGCCACCCGCCCTGCTGCCCGCCCTGCCGTCCGCCCTGCCGCCCGCTCGCCCCCCTCCTGCTGCTGCTCCTCCCCTTGCTGCTGCTGGCGAGCCCCTGTAAGTGCCATACCCCTGCCTCTCCCCCCTATTCCCTTCGCCATTCCCACCACCCCCAGCAGCCCCGCCATCCCCACCAGGCCCATCAACCCCACCAGCCTCGCCAGCAGCACTGAAAATACCATGAACAGCATCAAACCCATGACCCGCAGAGCCAGCACTAGCACCAGTACGACCCACACTAACACCAGCTTCTGAGCTCTCCTTTTCTCGCCCTTGCCACAACCTGTCAGTGAAAGGGTCATGCGAAGCACTTCTGGGCACACCCCTACCACCTCCTCCTAAACTTCCTTTACGCTGCCCCCCTTGCCCTGGCTCCACCCCTACTACCCCATGCTGCTGCTGCAGCTGCTGCTGCTGCTCCGCCAGTCGTCGCCTGTACTCCTCAAACTTGCTCACATACGCCACGGCAGACGCCCGCGAGCCTGTGCCCGTGGACGGCCGAGATCCGCCGGCTGCCTGCTGCATGGACGGCTGAGATCCGCCTGCCAGCGCCTGCGGCCGAGCGCCTGTGCTTTGCTGTGCGCTCGTGCTTTGCTGTGTCGTAACGTGCTGCTGCTGCTGCTGCTGCTGCTGCTGCTGCCATTCCTTTCCTGGGTCGACCACGAGAATCTGAGCGTCAGGACTTGTTCCAATCCCGAGGGGCTGTGCCTGTGCATATTGCTGCGTCGGCTGCTGCTGTAGCTGGTGCTGTTGACTACCCGTTGCGGCCTCACTGTCTCCTGCATCCAATTGATCAACCCCGGACGCGTGAAGGGCTCCATTGACAAACCCCTGAAAACCGCCAACAGAAAGATCAGCAGCACCAGCAGTAGCAGCAGCAGCAGCAACAGTGGTGGAAGGAGCAGGGCTGGCGGTGCCAGTTGCTCTCAGGAACCCATCCATGCTCGTCTGGCTTAACGAGTACGCCCTTGGCCTCTCTGTACCGGACCCAAACCGTATTGACTGCATTGACCGCGTTGACTGACTCTTGAAACCATCCGCCCCTCCTTCTGACCCCTGAGGCGCCTCAAAAGTCGACCTTGGCCTCTCTGACCATGATGCAAACCGCATTGACTGCATTGACCGCGTTGACTGATTCTTGAAACCATCCGCGCCTCCTTCCGACCCTGACCTCCCTCCCCCGCCCCTCTGCCCTGCACCGTAACAAGCCCCTGCACCGTAACTCCCCACATCAAAACTTCCTCCACCAGAATTCCCCCTACCGTAATTCAATCCATCAGTCCCGGATACACCTGCCCCAGATTCCGCCGCATTAGATCCCATCGGATCAGATACCACCTCCCCCTCCAGCGGCTCCCCATCGTCCTCCTCTAGGTCCGCCTGCCACGCCCTGTGCCTCCGCCCGCTCTCTGACGCCATCCGCGGAAGCCTAAACCTCGCTATAGCGGACTTCGATAACGGCAACGGAAGCCCTGCCTTCGGCCCCGCAGAACTTGCGGCCTTTCCGCCTGAAGGGCCCAGCCCTCCGCCTGAGGCCTCCAGCCCTCCACAGTAGGGGGAGGGGGAGGAGGTAGGGACGGCCGCGGCAGCAGCAGGACCAGCGTAAGGGCTAGCGTACGGGCTGGCGGAAGGGCTGGCGGAAGGGATGGCGGAAAAGCTTGCGCCACTGGCGGAGAAGCTCCGCTGCCGTGAATATGACGGTCCCTGGGGGGGATTTCGGTTTGGAGTTTGGTTAGGAGTCTGGTTCAACGGTAGGAAAACACTCCCCCCAGAACTTGCGCTTCTCCCAGCGGAACCGCCGCTTCCCCTTCCGCCAGCCCCGCGGTTCGTCCCCGCTGCTCCCCGCTGGCTTCCGCCACTGGCTTCCCCCGGTTCCCTCCCGTCGTCCGCGGAGCTTCCCCCCGCGCCACCCGCACCGCTTCCCCCGGCGCCACCCACGGAGCCCCCGAACATCTGATGCAGCGCGTCTGACGCGGAACGCGCCAAGCCCCAGTGTGATCCGACGCCAGCGGAACGGCTACCGGCGCTCCCGCGCGAGAGCCCCGCGTGGGAGGCATCGGCGGAAGCTGCGGGGCTGGCTGCTGCGGAGAAATCTCTATCCGCGGGGACTTCCAGTCCAGTACAGAAAGAATCCTGCGCCGTCTGCGCTGCTGCGCCGGCAGCCTCTCCGCCGCGCACCTGCTGCGCGCCTCCGCGAGCCTCTCCGCCTTCGCCGCCGCCGGACGGCTTGAACGAATGCGCGGGTTTCGGGTCCTGCGCGAGCGAGCGCACGAACGTCTGGAAATCCATGGCGGAAAGCGACGTGGCGCGTTGGACCTTGTTCCACACGCGCTGCCGCACGCTGCCGGAGCGCTGGCGATTTTGATTGGACGATCTAAGGAAATTAACGGCGCATCCGGCGGGCATTGTGGGAGACTGAAGCGAGTCATCGTACACGTCGTCCAAGTTAATAAATGTTCCGCCATGGTTTTGTTGGTGCTGCTGGTAGGATTGGTCATTGTTCTGTAGGTATAGTGGAGCGGAGTGGAAATCGGGGTTGTTAGGGTTGTCGTTATCCGCGCGTGGCGACTCCACCCATAACTCGTCCATAGTTTTTGAATTACAAGAGTGGTAACCAATTCAGCTCAATCACCATCGTCTATACGTAGGACCGCATCGTTCGTGAATGGCGAACGGCTTTGGATGGCATATACATCAGTCCATTATAATCAACATCACCCTTTAGCAAATCACTTACGTATAGCACCACAAACTCAAAACATGGTCCAGAAATTCTCCGAGCTCTTCAAGCTTTCTCGCAGGTGGTGGTGAGTCTGATGCCCTGCTGTTGCTCCCAAGGTGACCAGGACCAACCAAAGAAGCTCCACTTTCCTCTCCCCGAACCCGAACCGAACTGATCACTCACTGCGAGGAGTTTCCTAGGCCGTGAGGAATGGATCAGGGCTTGGGACGGAATGTGGTACAACACAAGTAACCTGTTTAATTTTAATCGGTTCAGAGGCATCTACAGCGTTACAGAGCGTTCTATTTCCGTACATCAACAATGCACATCATTTTTTTTTTTTTTTTGCTTATATATGCTATACACCAGTACAGAAGTGTATATCACATAAACAGTCGTAACTGTACGTGAGAAGCAGGATGCCTGCCTCCGAGAAATCCGATCCTTACATGTGGATCCGGGGCCTGTGTGGCTTGCCCCAAATTGCTGCGAATTTGGCCGACCACCGCCAGCCCTTGCCCTCCACCACCCTGATGCGGTTCAGAAGACGCTGTTCCTGATTCGTCATCACGTGCCATCTGGCTTGCTGCACCTTCCCCTTCTGTTGCAGCTTTCCCGCTGAGGCACGCACGTAAATGTTGACATGCATGCGCAGAGCAGTTTCAATCCTCCGCAGTACCCGCCTCGTGCGAAATTTACACCCGCGAAAGGCCCCTTCACACCTCTCCACCCATAGTTGATGCAAAGCGATAGAGATCAGAGTCGCCTCGGGGAATGCTGACGTGGAGTTTGCCTTTCCGAACAGCCAGTCCCCCAGCGATTCCGCCCGCCTGCCAGGATTAATCATGCGCAGGGCCTTCTTCACTGCTGCAACCACCACCCGGATCTTTGGGCACTCAGAAAAACAGTGCTCCAATGTTTCAAAGACCCCACAGAAAGGACACACCGGCCCACTGCTGAGAAAGGGGAGTCTCTCCCCGACTTGCAGATTCAGACTGTGGATTCTTAGCAAAACATCCCTTGGCCTGCTGGGGGTGACTAGCGATTCCCGGGTTTTAACTGCCCGCTTCCAGTCTATACGACCGCCCCATCTGTCCTCCCACTTTTCCGCCTGGACTGCCCGCTGCTGCCATGCCCCCAACAGGACCTGAGTGACTTCATCGGCGCAACCTCCCCCTTCACCAGGAGTTTGTTGCGCAACTGCTTTGACCCCTCTCTCCCTGCCACATACACCTCTGCAAAGCCCATCTGCGGTAACTCAGCTGAGAGAAGCAATCCCCTCCAAGCTTCTGGTGCTGCAGCAAAGGCCTCCAGTGCCAGCTTCGCAGCCTCCATCCCCAGCAGCTCCCTCTCCAGAGTGACCAGGTCCTTTAGCGTGCCCCTCCCCTCCTCATCTTTCCGGATCAGATCCCCCAGCCTTACTTCTCGCAGCCGTTTCGCCGCCTTTTGTCCCCCAAATGGCGTGGAGCCTTTCCGAAGAATGTGTCTGTTAAACACAATTCTCTCCAGCCCCACCTCCTCTTTGCTTCGCTCCGCCCCTGTCACCGCCAGAGGAGAGCGCATGAAGTTTTCACATGCCAACTTCCACCGCTGGCTCTTCCCCTCCCAAACTTTCAGAAGCTTCTCGTGCGACATAAAGGTATCGAGCCCCAGTGGTAAGTCTGCTGCCTGCCGTAGCAAATTCCGTTTTAGCTGACTGGACTCATTGAGTATCAACCCAATCCTCCTGGCTGTGAAGCAGGTAAGCATAGCTTCTGGGTCTTTTGCCCCCACACCTCCTTCCAACACCGGCGTGTACAGCAGCTCCTTACTCCATAGGAAGAAACATTTCTCCGTTGTAACCTTGTTGGCTGACATGAAAGTGTGCGACAGCTTCGTTATAACCCCCCAGGTCCGAGCAGGCGGCGGGTACACCTGGGCCTGCGACCAGGCTATCGGCATGATGTAACCATCCATCACAGCTCTCCTTGCTTTAATCGGCAGATACTGCGGCTGCCACAGGGACATCTTCCCCACAATCCTCTCCAGGGCCTTGTCCCAGGTCGGCTGGCAGCTTCCGCTGGGCGTGACCCAGATACCAAGAAGCTTTTCAGCCTCATCCGCACCTGCCCATCTGAAGCCACCTGTGCGCCAGGTCTTTTTGCCAAGGTTAACTCCTAGCGGAAGCACCACCGATTTATCTTTATTCGTCGCCAACCCAGAGATGTTCTTGAACTCCTCCAGTACTTCCTCCGCTTTGACGATTTGCTGTTTTCCCTGAAGTAGGAGAGTAGTATCATCGGCATAACCGACGTAAGCCAGCCGTTGCTCAGTACAACCCCTGATGGTAATTCCCAACTTCTTCTTTTCCACCAGCTGCACCAGAGGTTCCACCGCACAAAGAAACAAGTAAGGGGGGATGGGACACCCCTGCCGGACTCCTGATACCACATCCACTGCTTCCCCCATCCATCCGTTAACTAATAAACTTGTGCGCGTGTTGTCGTGCAGTCCTTTCACCCACCCGACAAAACGCTCCGGAAAGCCCATCTTCTTAAGGACCTCAAAGGTGAAGTCCCGGGAAACTGAGTCAAAGGCTTTCCTGAAGTCGACCAGCAGCATATACCAGTCCTCCATGCCATTCTTTGCCGCGTCGATGACATCCGCTACAAGCCCCACCGCATCCGACACCCTTCTCCCCGGTATGAAGCCAAACTGCTCCTCCGAGATGACTTTGTGAAGCACCTTTTTAATTCTGCTCGCCAGCACCCTTGCCAATACTTTGTAACTGAAGTTCAGCAAGGTTATCGGTCGGTAGTTCTCTAACTGCTCTTTTGCTCCCTTTTTATGCAGAAGAATGGTTACAGCGTCCTTAACGCTAGTCGGGAGCGACGATGAGGAGGTGAAGCTCTGTACCAGCTCCATGAGGTGTTTCCCCAGTACGTCCCAATGTTGCTCAAAAAGTTCCTTCGGTAGCCCATCCTTCCCCGGAGATTTATTGTCAGCCATCTCCTTGAGAGCACGCTTCACCTCGGCTTCTGTCCAGTCCTCCTGCAAACACTCCGCCTCCGAGAACCAAAGCCTTTTCCCCGCTGCTGGAACCCAGTTTGAGAGTGCCGTCCTCTTATCCTCCCCAAAGAGACCGCTGTAGTATTCAGATGCCGCCTTCAAAATCTCTTTTGGCTCAGTTACCACCCCCCTGGGAACGGCCAGCTCCGTTATCTGTGTCTTAACCCTCCGCATCTTAATCCTCGCTGAGAGGTGAGGAGACGGGATTTCACCGACTAGCTCCTTGGCCATTCCCGCCATAAGGTGATTCCTCTCTCGCCGACATGCGTGATACTCTTTTAACTGCCGCTCCGCCTTCCTTAATCTCTCTTTTAGCGGTTGATCTTTTGGGTTGCACATGAATTCTTGCGCCAACCCTGCGACCATTGATGAAAGGTGATTGATCGTCGCCCTTATCCTTTTGCTCTCCTCCTTGGAGTAACGACGAAGGCTGATATTCAGGCGAGATATCAGAGCCTCAAAATCACCGCCTTTTTGTGCAACCTGCCCCTCCACCTCTTCCGTAAGCTTACGGACACCTGGTCTGTGCAGCATGGATAGGTGCATGCGCCATAGCCCCGGGCCCGTGCGCAGCTGCGATTTGATCTTGAAGGCGATGCGAATGGCGAAGCCGTGGTCAGAGACTGGCTCCTCAGGTTTGACATGAGAGGCGGATATGAGACGCGGAAGCAGGGACTGAGAGACCAACGCTCGATCAATCCGAGTGCTTTCCTGGTGTACCTGCGAGAAGAAGGTGAACTCGCGCTTGAAAGGGTAAAGAGAGCGGAATGCATCAGTTATGTCAAAGTCCTTGCATCTCTGGGAGAGAGAGTCGTTTTCCTTTGACGATCCTTGCTTCGAAGTCTTATCTAACACTGGGTTCTCGACTATGTTGAGGTCTCCTATAATGAGCAGGTGGGATCCGCGCGGGATGAGGTCAACCGTGGGTCCTAGTACTGTCTTGATGAATGCTCTACGCAAGGCCTTGTCCGACGGGAAGTATACCGCGAGCAGGGTGAGGCTCAGGCTGGCACACTGGATCTCAGTCTTCACTAATCTACCTGAAGGATGCGCTAGCGGATTGTGGAAGGAGAGGTCGGTCCTGCGGCTAAGGATCGCTACACCCCCAGCTCGAGTAATCGGAGTGGTAGCAGCAAAGGAGGTGAGATTAAGGGTGGACCAATAAGGGTGGTCTAAGGCTATCCTAGTGTCTGAGAGTATCATCACATCTGCCGCTTTCGTACTGTAAGTCCAGTCAGTTGTTCGTTTCCGTTTGTTACTGTCACCCAGGCCGTTGACGTTCAGGCCCGCAAAGGAGAGGGTGTTCCGTGTATTCATTTAATCACAGCTTGATCACCTCTACGCATCCAAAGGCAGGTAAAGCAAAGTACAGCAACCACCGACCATCCGACTGCTACTGCCGCTGAGACTCGAGTCACAAACTCTAAATCTCGTACTCCTTGCGAATCCCCTTCAGGTTCACTGTCCCCAGGGTAGCACGCGTGACAGCACCTATCTCCTCCTGACCGTGAAGGTGTCGAGCCGAGGTGATATGTTCTGCAGCAGCAACAAACAGCTTTCCGTGCGCCTTTCCGCAGCTCAGCTGTGTGCATACCCACTCCTCCCTGGTATTTCCAGTGGAAATCAGCACAATCGC